TTCATATTTGCAGTTTTATTATGTTTACAGTCATACATACACTCATATACACATATATATGCCCTGAATTAGTTTCCTCACTCTTTACTCACCCCAGTTCTTCCCCATATATCCAGATCAACCCCTTTCTGTCTCTTATTAAAAACCAAACAGCTTCTAAGGTGTTATGATATAATAATATAATGATAAAACAAAAACTAACACATCGTAATTTGACAAAATAATCAAAAGGAAAAGTACCCAAGAGAATCCATAACCAGAGTCTCATTTGCAGACTCAAGAATCCCATAAAAATACTAAAATAGACGCCATGATATGAACATAAAGGATGCTCTTTCAGCCTCCTCTTCCTTAAAGGGAAGGATTTGATAAGCATATCTCCTTTCAGTCTGAATGTGAGTTCGAGGCCAGCCTGGTATACAGAGCGAGTTCCAGGACAGCTTCCAAAACAATAAAGAGAAAATCCAAAAAAAAAAAAAAAAAAGGCTGAATATTCCAAGTCTCCTCCTCTCTCTCTTCATACTGTCTGGATTTGGGTCTCTGTATTTGTTCCTATCTGCTGCTAGAGGGAGCTTCCCTGATCATGGCACTTGTTTGTGAGTATAACAGAAAGTCATCAGGAATCATTTTATCCCTAGTTAAAACAATACAAAACAAAAAACCTAGTACTATTTGGGTTTACCCTAGGTCCTTGACTATCAAGTCTCAGATTTTTGGTAGTCCAAGTAGTGTGGGTTTGAACTCCATCTCACGGAGCAGGCCCTAGGTAAAAGCAGATATTGGTTGGTTGCTCCCACAAGCTGTGTGCCGCCATTGCAGTAGCGTTTCTTGCAGGCAGGACATCCTTGTATATGATGTCATTGTGGCTGAATTAGTATTTGTGTTTGCCCTTTGGTGACCTGCTGCAGGTAACCTTTCTGTCCCAGGGACACTAGTATGTAGGGATAAAGTCATTATGTAGTCACCAGCTCAATTTCTCCATGTTCTCCGAATTTTGTGGGTATTGTCCTCAGCCTTCCTGTCAGTGTGTGGAGAGCAGCCTATTGTCATGGTAACAGCATGAGTCCTTCGGGAATTCCCATTGGACCTCTTTAACCAAAAAGTCAATTAAATGTAACCCACCAGTACTCTTGGTGACAAGAGATGGACAGCTGGGGCTCAGTCTCTCCCACTACTGATGTTTTCATTCAAATCATCTTCATATATGTATATATTTTCTGTGTTAGGTTCCTATACTGTCCCTAAGTTGGCCCTTAATTGTATCTGTCTCCCTGTGCCATCCCTGGGCGAGTGGTCCTGGCTGCTGTAAGAAAGCAGGCTGAGCATGTCATGAGGGACAAGCGAGTGAGCAGCACTTCTTCATGGGCTCTGCATCAGTTCCTGCTCCAAGTTCCTTCCCCGATGTCTCTGGATAGAGTTATAAGCTGTAAGATGAAATACCTCCCCACCCCTGCCAAGTGGCTTTCGTCATCAGCAATAAGAACTCTAACTAGGACAGGGTCTATACTTTTTAAAAAAGTTTCTTTTATTTAATTCATGTGTAATTAAATATATATACATGTGTGTATACACATAACATACATATATACATATGTATATACATATATATATATATATACATACATATATATATATATATGCACGCACCACATCCATTCCTACAATTGTTTATTAGCTATCATGTAGGTGCTGGGAAATAAACCAGGGTCCTATGTAAAACAGCAAGTATTCTCTCTAGCTGCATAACATTTTCAAACTAGAAACTGGTGATATTCAGTATGCGATGTTCTGATTTGATGATCTACTGTTTTCTCAAGTCTTCCATGTTGATTTTCTTGAATCTGCCATGTCTCTGATCCTCTTCCTCCATGTGCTTGTCTCTTTGTACAGCTTTTCTCTTGCTTTTGTTTGAACTCATCTTCTGAGATGCAGTCATGTATTTGGAGCTCCTCCTTTGTGAAACGCCCTTCACAGCCATGTTCTTTTGTATTGCTGGCACGCTTTCTAATGAGCCATGAGTAGTGATAACAGTTGTTTTTACAGTTACTTGCTTTTATACACTAATCTATTTCCTCCTAGTTGTTTTTATTTTCTGTGTATTTGTTTTGTCTTCAGTCCCTAATGGTTGAGGGTCTCCTCAGCTAACTCCTGGCCATGAACTACTGACTTTTGCATGGGAGTGTAGCATACTGAAACAGCTTATGGGAAGCTTCCAGATACAACTCATCACTAATATCCTTCACTTACATGATAACAGGAAGAGAGCTCTTTTGCTATTCCTTTCGTTAACCTTTGGCTTGATTTTGACCTGCTTGAAGTCCCCAGGGAAGACGGCAAAGCCTGGTAGGGAAAGAGGACAGGAAGGATTCCGTGTCCACTGAATATTGGAAGTAGTATGCATGCTCTGTTTTGTGCTTTGTTTCTCAAGTCTCTGACTTGAAGGGAAGAAAAGGAAAACAAAATTGTCTAGTGCTGTAAACAAATGATTTAACCTCCCAGTGTCCTTCAACAGTGGCAGAGTACAGGGATCTGATAACAAATGAATATTAATTGTTTTGCATTTAAACTTCAAAGCAATAGGGTCTGCTATGCGAGGAATCAGGAAGTAATAATTTTTTGCACTCTTTTTCACCATGTTGTCCCTAGAAGCACCTGAGGTCATCGAGTTAGTATGTTTTAAGTCAGATTTGCAAAGAATGAATTTGCTGTGACAGGGTGATATGTGGACATACCTCCATGTACTGTTTTAAACAGGTGTGCGCATTCTTCTGTGAACAGACACATAACAAGTGGCTTGCAAGGCAGGGTGTTAAGAAAACCTGTTGAATTTCACTGTATTTTATAGTTTAACTTACAGGTGAATACTTTATCATATAGAAGAGTGTGGACACACTGACATCTATTGTATGGTAGGATTAAATAAGTGGTGGTCAGCAAAACCCTGTGAGTTTTTCTAACTCTGTTTCCACAGCACTGAGATAGGCACAGCTGGGACCACGTTTTTACTATAGGTGCTTGGGATCAAAGTTAGGTGCTGTGAGCAACTTACTTATTTTAGCTCTCTACCCAGCCCACCTAATTTGACATACTTAAATTATTTTTACACAAATTATTCACTAAAATTTGACTAATTAGCACGAAACATAGAAGGTCCAGGGGAGGCTATTACAGACGCTTTTCCTAAATTCCTTATTTTCTGATTCAGTTCATGACTACATCCATGTATAAATGTATAGAAAATATACTTTGCACAACGTTGCCTTATTGCTTTTATTGCTTTTGATGCGTAATGTTAGTTTTTTAAACCAAACATCTATAAATAAGTCTTTTGTTGAAATTGGGTACAAGCACAGTCCACATAGATGTGGTTTGAGAGAAGCTTTTAAACTGGACATTGGTAAGAAGATAATTTACTCAGTGACATGGTATGTAAGAGCTCTGATCACAGTGCCTGAAGCAGAACAGATATTAACTAATGCACGTTCTTTTCATGTAACATACACACATCAGTCTCTTGACATAAGATATACGTATTTGCACCAGCCTGTGATAGTGCATGCCTTTAATCCCAGCACTCGGGAGCCAGAGGCAGGCAGATCTCTGTGAGTTCAAGACCAGCCTGATCTACAAGAGCTAGTGCCAGGACAGACTCCAAAGAGACAGTGAAACCCTGTCTCAAAAAAAAAAAACCACCAGATATAGGTATCTGCAATCATGATTTTCAGACTTTTAAAGTGTATTGCAGAGTATTATAAAGTTATCCAAGGCAACTATATGGATGATAGGGACACTTGTTATTAAGCCTAGAAACTCCGCCATAGGCAGTGTGTCCCATTAACGGTGGTAGAAGTGGTACTATAATAACATATAATACTTTCATATGTAAAAGCTGGTAGAGAAATAATATGGTTTCTAATTTTTAAAAATTTTCTAAACATATTTTTCAGATTAAATATAGATGAACGTCCTGGTTAGTTTTTGTCAACTTGGCACAAACTAGAGTCACTAGGGAAGGGAGAACCTACATTGTGGAATTGTCTCCATCAGCTCATCCTATGAGCATGTCTGTGGAACATTGTCCTAATTGCTAACTGCTATAGAGGGTTCTGGACTCCTATGCAAGAAAAGTATCTGAACAGGCCTGAGGGAGAAAGGAAGCAGAAACCATCATTTCTTCATGGATACTGTTTCAGTTACTGCTTCCAGGTTTCTGCCTGAACTTTCTTCAGTTACAGATTGTGATCTAGGAATTATAAAATGAAATAAACCCTTTTCTCTCCAAGCTGGTTTAGGTCAGTGTTTTATCGTAACAATAGAAAGCACGTTAATAAAATGTTATGCCTAAAATCAACCTTGTGATATAATAATAATAATAAAAATATATAGTGCTGGCTTTCAGGCAATCTGGATTTAAGATGCTGGCTTTCAGGCAATCTGGATTTAAAGTGCTGGCTCCATTATTTGACTGTGTGCAGATTAATTAGTCAAAATTCAACACTTGAGTTTATTATCTGAAAAGTGAGACTGACTCCATTCATTCTTAATATTAGCATATAGTGTAACTTATTTTTTTTTTGTTAGACAGGGTTTCTCTGTATTGTTTTGGAGGCTGTCCTGGAACTCACTCTGTAGACCAGGCTGGCCTCAACTCACAGAGATCCATCTGTCTCTGCCTCCCAAGTGCTGCGATTAAAGGTTTGTGCCACCACCATCCATCCAATCTATACAGCACTCTTTACAGTACTGTTTCATTGAGATCTTTCACTCAGCTAAATAAAAATTATTCTAATTCAATGTGTAAAATTATATTCTGAAAATATTATTTGTATACATTAGTAGATATCTTATGAAATATAAGTAAACTTATGAAAACATCCAAATGTCTGTCTTTTGTTGGCATCTTTGTCACAAGTAATTTCATTTTAATTTAATGTCTTAACATCTCGTGGGCAGGAAGCAGTGGAAGGCTGTCCTAATCCTTGTTCTTTATTCTCTGACAGAGAAGTTCACTGATAACATGCTCTTACGAAGCTCAGGAAAATTAAATGTGGGCACCAAGAAAGAGGATGGCGAGAGTACAGCCCCCACCCCTCGCCCCAAGGTCCTTCGCTGCAAATGCCACCACCACTGTCCAGAAGACTCAGTCAACAACATCTGCAGGTTAGTGATAGAAGTGGTGCAAGCTCCACTTTCTCAAGTGGTCCCATAACATTTTGAACATACATTAATGTTTCCAAGAACATGATCTGGAGAATGGTTCAGAATTAAGAGAAATATCTAATCATATTTTACCCTGAAATGGTGCTTGAGACATCCCTTTTACGCAAACATATAAGCAGAATACAGGTCTCAGGCTCCTTGTCAATGAACAAAAACTATTGTGCTTTTCCGTATTCACTTACTATAGATTTCATGTAAATATGCTGATCTTTTCTTAACCACTAATCACAATGATGCTGTTAGCATTTTGCAGCAACAGATTAATAAACTGCTTCTGGAAAGCAGTTTGGTGATAAAGTTTGCATTAATCCCACAGGTGTTAGGAGAGACATTGTTATAGCACAACAACTATGAAGTTGGAAATATGAAATCAGAACTATATTTTATAAAAAAAAGAGTTCAGTTTCAAATAATGTAAAGCGTTTTTCTTCGTACTCATCTTCATGCAGCTGCATCCACTTTGCTGGTTATGATATCTGTTTGTTCCCCAGAGTGAGGAAAGAGTATATAAAGAGCCATAGCCTCTTGAGAGCAGAGCTGAACAAGAGAGAAAGGGCTAACTACCCATATGTCATGTCTCCTGGGAATGGCAGGGTCAGAGAAGCAGAGTGTACATGCATTGGAACTGGCCATGAACTCCAATGGGGGAAAGGAACAACTAGTTTTGGAGTCCAGGAAGGATATCTAGGTAGCTACTTTCAGACCATCATCAGTCAAGCAGGCATACCAAACTTGAGCTGAATGCTTTTGCTGTTGCTGAGAGTTTTTATAATGTGTATCATGATAGGGAATCATTGTACTAGTATCCCTAGTTCAAAAATGACATATTTAAAATGTTCCCAAACCACAAATTTGATGCCACTAGTGGAGATTTCCCCACCTGACTTCATTTGTTGGGTCACAGCCAGAATGCCGGCACACTAAAAATATTGTGTAAAATTATGTCCCTGCTATGTTTTCGTAAGACACATAAGATATAAATAAACTTCACGGTTGGATGTAAGTCCTATTCCCAAGATATCACATTAAGAATATGTAAATATTCTAAAAATGTAAAAGAAAAAAACCCAGAGCAATAGCCAGTGTTGGCTAGGGAACACACTGCCTTAAACATATAGAGGCTTACGAATGAAAAATTTGTCTTACACTTAGAGGTGCTGAGCTCTGCTGGGTTGGGTGACCTTGGCTTGAGGGTTATTATTGAACTCAGATTTGCCATACATCTGTTACACACGCATGACTATTATGTGTGTAAAAGAGCAACATCATAAAGCCCTCTGTTTGTCTCCTGTGTTCTGATGGTTCATTAGTTAGGTAGAGTGAAGCTTGAGGTCAAAGAGAAGCCATACCTATGATGAAATAGGACCATGCTAGCAAACTAGGGCAGAACCATGAAACACCGAATGTTTTAATCAAGGAGAATGTCCTAGGGGAAAAGCAGAAGTAAGTGTCATGGAAACTTATAATAGAGAGGGAGATACTTAGGCCGGCTACACTGGATGCAAATAGAAGTCAAATATGACAAGGACTAAAAGTGGAAATCAGAACTGATAACATTAATCAGATTTTAGAGATATTTAAGGTAGTAGAAATGGGAACCAGGTTGATGTGGGATTCTAATTTTGTGGTTGTCAAACTTTGATTTATTATAGCAAAGGAAAACAACATAAATTCCATTACAATAATGACAGAATCCCACAACAGACTGTGAATATACCATTGAAGTCAGTGTGGATGTGTTGGCTTGTAGATGTCAACAGAGAACTAGTATTACTGAAATGACCATATGTTTACTTTCACCTATCTAATCATCAGAAGAATCTTATGAAGAATGCAGTAATTCCCGTTTATTTACTGGTAAGAAATGTGAAGGTTAAGTTATCCTTAGTCAGTTTGATGATATGATAAAAAAAATTGGCCAAGACTCCAAGTTCTGAATTCTTGGTCAGCAGCCAATCCTCTCAGGTTATCTAAGGACATTCCCTCTTGAGTCTGATACTCATTTTTCTAGTGAGGAGGTGGTTTGAGTTGAATTTTCTCATGTGTTGACCACAGGGACCACCTTTGCACTTTGTATAAAACCAAGAAGAAGCACATGACTTTGTCTCAGTCTCTGAGGCCATACTCTACTCTTCCGCTCAAAATCAATACTTCTCAAGCTCTCTCTATTAAAAGATACCCCCGAACATGCAAAGTTATGCACAAGTACTTGCCTAAAGTACACTCAAGATTAATTATTAAAACCATTCATTTAAAGGCTTGTAAATTATTTGTCCTTTTTAATCTTTTAGTGAGTTTCAACAGACATGAATTTATCAAATCAAGGTGCTATACAAGGTCTGTTTGTTTTTTAATCTTTTCACAGACCTACAGAGAACAGTTTTCTGTCCTGAATCTTACACTCCTAGGCAAAGCCGTTTTAAATACAAGGGTGTGCTCTCTCTTGAGTTAGATCTGGTATATGTTGTCTGCCCTGAGACTTTGTACCATTCAAAAGTTCCTCCCTCCATCAAACTGAATGTCCTAAGTAGGTTTCTTACTCAATATCCCTTCCACCACTCTGGAGAAAGTAATCCAAAATGGGACAAGAACCAAGAATGCTTCATACTTACAGTCACTGTAAAATTTCACGGGCTAAGTCAGAAAGCATAGGTAGAGTTTAGAGGTTTGTAAATTCTTCAGTACTCTTGTTTGTTTTACCAGCCATCCAAAAGGTCAAGGGTGCAGATGTGTCAGCTACCAAAATTCTTATCATTTCCATTGCTTATGGCATGCATGCTAGAGGATGCAGTGTGTGTGTGTGTGTGTGTGTGTGTGTGTGTGTGTCTGTCTGTCTGTCTGTCTGTCTGTCTGTCTATGTATAGAGAGAGAGCCATATGTATGGTAAGCACCTTTAATCCTAGAACTATAGAAAGAAATGCAAAGGGATGGTTGCAAATTCAAGATCAGCCTGGTGTGTGTAGCAAGAAAAGAAAACAGAATTGTGACATTATAACATTAGTATGAGTACAATGCTTGTATCTATAATCACAAGTTGGGGGAGGGAGTAAAGCCATTGAGACATCTCCCTTAAGGTAATGTCTGTCTTCTAAATATGTTTCCAGATGTCATGTTGCTTTGTAGCCCTTCTATTTCCTGATTACTTTGGTGAGATAGCAGACCATTACTTAAGCCTTTAGAATTTCTTCTTAGGTGGTTTTTCACCATGTCATGTTCTGTGTCGTTTTTCCATTCTAGCAAATGTCTCAGGCTTGCTTACCATTTTTCTATATGTACTTTCATCTGGTTTTATAAATTCTGTCTTCTTAGATATAGTCTTTAATAGTCATTATTCTGTTCCTGTCTCATGACCATCTTCTAGTTCCTTCAATCCATAACACATGTCTATCCATTTGTAATAGCTAGTGTTGATTTATCTCTCAGAGATGATTTTAACACTTCTTCATTTAAAGTTTTGGTTTCTGCCTAGAAATTTTCCTACATGGGCAATTTTCAGGTATAATAAAGCATGGGGGTATAAGGAAAAGCCAGTGGCCATGCTATATGTCATTTGAGCCATCCGGTTTTTCTAATATTGGCCAGTCCAACCAAATACCCATGTTTGTTGAGTTTACCTTTGCTGGTAGAAGGTGTTAATTTCTACTTTAATTATGAGAGTGTTGACTCCTTCCCTAGAACCTGTGATTTAGTCATTACTCTGGTATGTCAAAGTCAATGATGGAGAATTTTATAAGGAATAACTATTTTGTACATCACAAATGAGACTAAATAGGACCAATTTGTTGTCTGGTTTAATTGAAAATGAATAGTGTCGGGCTTCTTCAGATAATCTACTAAAGTTTGCAGAGCAGAGAAGGAAAATGTTGTATTTCCCTGACAATAATATTAATATACAGATTGGCCAGAGAGAGGAGTCCTTTTAAAGGGCTCTTAGAGATTATGGGGTCTGCCCAGGGTAGTGAGATACTTAGGGAATACACAATTGGGACATTGCTAAAAACCGTGTGCTTCATAGAACAGTAAGCCCATCCCTAAATGGTCAGTATAAGTGCCAGAGAAGGATACTGACTAGAGAGAGACATTGCTCTTGAGGTCAGAATCAAAGGCAGTACTCATACTGAGGCTTTGTCATCAATGCTGTTAACTTTACACCCCCTACAATGATTAGCTCCAATAGGAAAGGACAGAGAAGGGTGTGGTAATATTATTGCATTTCCTTCTAACTCTGTGGGAATCAACTCATCTCGGAGGCTGGCGAGGGGATCGTAAAACCCGTAGGAATCCACGCTTTGGAAGCTGTCACTGCTCATCATTCCTTGCTCTTGCCCAGTCAGTTGAAAGCACGAGGTGGTTCATGATTTCTATCCCTGCTGCTTGAAGCTGATGATTTTTTACCTTCAGAGTCAGAGTCTGTGTAATCCATGTGCTTTGCAAACAGAGACTGCCTCTTCCGCAGGTAGCCTGCTTTGGTCCACAATGCTTGAGTGAGAACCACAAATGAAAAGAGGATTGGCCTGAATAAAGCCACTCAATAAAAATCTACGAGATCAAACAGCTGCTGAACTTGTGTGTACCATAAGATTACCTGTGCTGGAAATTTTGAAAACTTACTTTGTTCTGTTGAATGTGAAATAGGCATTTTCAAAGACGGGTTGTTCTCAGCCAGCCAGCCCTTTAAAATGGATTTTGATTGAAATTTAAACTCAAAGGAAATTCGAGGATTTGAGAATTTGGTACAGCTTTTATAATGTGCAGGGCTATGTATTGATCAATGAGGAAAACTGTTAATCTTTGGAGGCATGAATTCATAACTGCTGAGATATCTTGCTAGCCCTGTTTCCCTCACTTTAAATAAAGGTGTTGTTGAGGTCATTTTAGATGACTTGTGAAATTGCTTTCTCTCCCTCAACATTAACTCAGGAAGGAACTGGGTTCCAGGAGACTGTTCTAAACCCATTTAGAACAGATGTGAGAAGAGTTAAAGTCTTTGCAGTTTCTAGATGCATGCCAGCAAACAGAGAATCACTGACTTCCTCAGCCCTTTGAAGCCTCTTTTTGCTAGTGTAAGTTCATTAGGTGACACTGAAAATCTAAAGCAGTGTCTCCTTCCCGCCTCTAGATATTTCAGACATTCCTTTGCTTTTGGAAAACTGTACGAATTCAAAGAGTCCTGATCCTGACAAGCTATCTATCCAAGGATTATAACAAATTTTATCACTACTTTGATCTCCTGTAACCTTTAGTTTGGGAAGGGTTTTGCATTTTTATTGAGTAACTACAGGAACACTGAGAATCCATGACTGATTTTCTCCTTGGTATGCTTTGGACCCATCCAGTTCTCAGTCCATTTGTCACTGGCTCTTCCCTGCCTGTGACACAGAGGGACAGCATATTAATTGACTGTTCCATTAATTGACTCTGTGCCACTGCCCCTCTCATCCATAATCATTACTGTAACCAAAGATTCATCCTACATCCATCTAATGTATTTCACTTCTTAAAATATTCCTACTTTGAACTTTCTTCATGATTCTTAACGGTATCACTTCCTACATTATGGTAATGATAACACAGCCTTGAACACCCAGGCAGCAGAATATTACAAAAAGTAAAACCTGATAGCAGAAGGCAATTGCCCTTTAAGACACATAATAGCAGAGTCAGCCTCACAGCAGAGCTGGCCATCTTGAACACAAGATCTGCTTGTTTCTGTTTGTGCTTGCTACAGAGTTAAGGTATCTCAAGAAGTATTTATGCTTCTGCAATTGTGCAGCTAGTTACCAGTTAATGCCCTGTGCTAGACAGAAACTCCAGTGTGAAGTTTATAAATTACATTTTCTCTGTTGCAAATGATAAACAATGAAAATGTCTCTCTTCCTTTCTTAGCCTCCACATATTTGATTTGTGCATGAATGTATGTAAATTCATCCTGTCAACATTGTCCCAGAACCGCATCATTCCCAAATGAACACACAGGGTGCTATGTTAATTATAAAGCTGTTGGCCGTTTGCTATGGTTTCTTAATGGCTAACTCTGACTTAATTATTAACCCATAATTACTAATATACTTTTATAAGATCTTATCTTACTCAGAATGCCAGACTTGCCCCCTCTCCTCCCAGAATAACATGGTGACTCTCCACTCTTGACTACATTTCCCAGAATCCTCCTTGACTCTTCGTCCCACCTATCTTACTTCTTTATTGACCAACAGTGCTTTATTTATCAACCAATAAGACAACATATGCACAGAAGGGCTTCCCCCATCACATGAATTTATGACTTATGATATCCTTTTCTTCAGGACACCTCTATCTTCTTCTTTATCCCTAATATATTCAGGTATGCATACACACACATATACACACATTTTGATTTATTTTTATTTTATGTGTGTGGGTGTTTTGCTTACATGTGTGCATACAATGACAGGAAAAGCAAGAAGAGGTTTCTGGATGTTTGGAGCTGAAGTTACAGATAGTTGTTAGCCATTGTGTGGGTGCTAGGAATTGAACTCAGGTCTTCTGGAAGAGAAACTAGTTGTTCTTAATTACTGAGCCATATCATCAGCCCTCTCCCTTCTTTGTATTTCTAGTTCTCAGATCTGCAAACAGATTTGTATATTTTTAAAACTTCATTTACTCTCCCTATGGTTTGTATTGTAAGTTGCCTACAAATTTATTTCCCTGCCTTTCTCTTTCTTCTTTTATTTCTTTCTCTTCTCCTCTCTTTTTTTTCTTTTGTCTTTGTCCCTATGAATTACCTTGATACTCATTTTTATGCAGTTTGATTTTGGGCAATACATTAAATCATCTCGGTTGTAAAGTATTATGTTGACAGCTCTATTGCCTAGGCATTCTAAGTGAGAAATCCTTTAGACAAATAGTATAAATGCATATAAAAAAAAACTCTCATGAGTAGTATTTACTCACATTGTTGGAGTGAAGTTTCACCTTATTTATTGCCTGAACTATTGTGTGTTTTGCACTCTCATTGGGGTTTCAGTGAGTTGACTAAGAAGCTCCAAAGAATTTGATCATGGGCTGTTCAGAGACAGTTTTTATTCTACAACAGTATTCATGCATTTGACCTTAGTCTAACACAGATTTATTACTAGCCCTTTCTAGCCATTCATTAGTATGTTTCAACTCTGTGCTTGTAGTTTTTATAAACTGAGACATGTTGGATCACTTGAGACTTAGAAACTAAGTAAACAGTTGTAAGAATGTTGATGATAACTGAAGGGCTAATGTATGGCAGAATGCTGCTACCACTAATGCGAGAGGACAGACCTACAAATCATGGCTAATGCTGTTCTTACAGCTTTGTTCCCATGACCTTTTAGAACTCCATTGTCATATTTGTCTTAGACAGTGCACATACATATGAATGAGAACAGAATGGGAAATGTAGTTTCATACTTTATTTCTAAGGGCACAGATGGCAGCTTGTGACTTATTGGGAATCCACATTATAAGGGTTGATTTATGAAGAGAATATATCGGTTTGCATGCAGTCCTGTATGTTCCAGTTACTGTTTTGAGTTTAGTTCCAGTACAGCAGAGACAACAAGTGGAAATGAAGCTGGATGACCTCCATTCAAGGCCTGAGACTGAAACTCTTTCTATCCAACCTTAAGTAGCAGTATTTTCTCATCAAGTTAACTCTCCCATATGTAAATAGGAATAGTATTTTCTTCTAAGTATTGATAAAAATATTAAATATCATTTAAAAATTGAATTTTCTATCTAAAGAAACATTAAAATTTAGTTCTGTGTAAACCTTTATTTCTATTGTCCATTCTTATCCATGTCCAACAGTGTTAGCTGTCATGCTGGGTGTGCCACCCCCAGCCCAAAGCAGGGTACCATGTCCACACCTTCACTGCCTTCCCTTGTCAGGAGGGGCTGACCCAGCTCCTGCCTATCTTCACCCCCTTGCCTTACAGGGATGCATTTCATGGCTCCCAAAGCCAGTCCCTGCATTCACCAGCAAGGTTCCATCCTTGTCTGACCTCATGGCCATGTGACATTTGGGAAATTATTAAAGCTCTTTTACTCTTACTGTCCTCACATAAAGGATGAAGATAGTACTATCTTCCTCAGGTTTCTCTCTGGAGAAGTGATAGGGCCAAGGTAAGTTCAATAAGAGTGTAAATGTTTTGTAATGGTAATTTACGATGCAAACATTTTAATCTTTCTCTCCCCTGAGTTTCTAAGGGGAAACTGTATGTTTTTAATGATTGGTGAATCTGCTTTCACAGATTCAAATATTGAGATGTACTCAACAGTTTGTAGTCTTTAAAAAAAATCAGTGCCGTTTTCCTGTTTGTGATGAAGCCAATGGTATTAAGGTTCATTTTATTTTCCTAAGTCATGTCCTCTTTTTTCTCACTCTCGCTGTACCGTTTGGTCTTCAGCACAGATGGGTACTGCTTCACAATGATAGAAGAAGACGACTCTGGAACCCCTGTTGTCACCTCTGGATGTCTAGGACTAGAAGGGTCAGATTTTCAATGTCGAGTAAGGAAGATAACTTGAATTTACTTTGTAACTTACATTGGCTAAAGTTTCAAAAATATTCAAACAACCAAGTTAATCATTTTGTTATGGCTATCCCATGTTGAATAGTTTGTAAACTAATTGAAAATTCTCATTGGCCAATTCTGTCTTCATTTTCAAATGGTGTTTTTACAAATTAGCTATTAACACCTTGCTTAGTTTCCAATTAGACCATATTTTAAATCCTGATTTTCTGTTGTTTAAATGGAGACTACATCATTTGTTTATTCAATGTATGCTGGTTGCTACAAGCACAATAATATTTTACTGAAGTGGAAATGTTGTTATGTTACATGATAATTTGAAACAACTTTCCTGATGGAAAGTAACATTTTCAGGCTTTTGAGCAAAATTATTAGAATTTTAAATGTGGTCTCCAATGGTAACCTGTTAAATCTTACATGAAGTAACATTGAAATTTAGAGGAAACTCACTAATAGCTTTTTGCAATCCATTTTAGGACACTCCCATTCCTCATCAACGAAGGTCAATTGAATGCTGCACGGAAAGGAATGAATGTAATAAAGACCTACACCCTACTCTGCCTCCGCTGAAGAACAGAGGTAAGACGGGTGAGGAGGACCAGCTTATGAGGGCCAGCACTGGACTCTTTCTTGCCAAATTCATTGGCGCCTTGATCATTTTTGCATTAAATTCACTTCATTACCCACTGCTGGAGTACAGGGCTGAGGCAAGATGACATCGTGAATGTCACTCAACAAATATGCAAGCAGATCTTGGTTTAGTGACTGTACATAGCTCTAGTCCTAGGATCCTTGTCACTCTGCTTCTCCCTGCATCTCCCCAGAACGTTCCTGTTTGTAGTGTTTATAACGTGCTGCTGGGAGGTGAAGAACACACTCCCTCAGAACTGAGATTTAAGGAAATCTATTATGCCATTGTACCCATTCAAAAATAAAGATTGTTTGGTCTACCACATTTTATCTTCATAGCAAACTGATTTTTATTAAATTAATAGCATATTTCTCAAATGGGGAATGTGCTTAAAAGTTTTAATTTCAAAGTTTATATACTTAAGTGCATTTAAAATGATAGCTATTGCATATTTAAGAACTATATTTCCTTTCCCTTCCCTGTACTAATCACAAATAAATGATTTGTAAATGCTATAGAGTCCCAAGTCTTATATGCTTAATTAAGAATGATGTTTCATTATTGACATTATTTCTTGAGTGCATATTTCCTACAAAACATAGTAGTATTTTATATTTTAAATAATGTTTCATAAATACATTCCCACTAAAGTCTTGAAGTTTTTCTGACGAATCCATAGAAATTCATATAAGAAGCTCAATGTTTTCTTTCTTTTTCAAGCAGTGTCCTAAGTGTTAGAGCTACAGAAATAGATGAAGAAAGTATGGCTTGCAAAAATATTGCTTTCTTACACTGAGGTATAAGAAATAACTTGTAAACAATTAACTTGTTTTTGGTCATGAGTCTCTCACTAATAGAGATAAATCCCAAGTCATATTAAGGATGATTTAGGTACTTTTCTGTTGCTGAAATAAAATACCCTAACAAAAAGCAACTTTGAGAACAAAAGGCTTATTTTAACTTATGGTTCCAGAGAGGTGGAGTGAAGAGAGAGAGAGAGAGAGAGAGACAGAGACACAGACAGAGACAGAGAGACAGAGAGAGAGAGACAGAGACACAGAGACAGAGACACAGAGACACAGAGACAGAGACACAGAGAGAGACAGAGACAGAGCGACAGCGAGACAGAAAAGAATGTTGAGTCAGACTATAAAACTCAAAGTGCAGCCCCAGTGATGCACTCCCTCTAGAAAGGCTTTACCCCAGATAGGTCCCTTAGCCTTCCCAAACAGTGCCACCAGCTGAGGACTGGGTGCTTAAAGGCATGAGCAAATGGGGGGCATTTCTCACTCAAACAGCAGTATCACACCCCTGGCCCCAGGCTTATGGCCATTTCATGACATAAAATGCATTTAGCCCAACTTCAAAAGTTTACATGTTCCTTATCAACCCCAACAGTGTTCAAAAGTGCAATGACTCTTCTGAAACCCTAGACTGTCTTTTCATTGTGAAAGTATGTAGTTTTGTTTTTTTGTTTGTTTGCTTGCTTGCTTTTATATTAGGTGGCAATGAGTATGCATGGAGTATGCATTCCCATTCAAAATGAAGGGACATAATAAAGAAAATTTTGACCAAAGCAAGACTAAAACCTAGCTGTACAATTTTTTAAGATTGTAAATTTCATCTATTTTACTCAGTTGATCCTATAATTTTTTGCAGCATATACACTTTTTATTACAAAAATCACATTTGAGTTATTCTTGCCAAAAATTGAATATGACTGTCTATATATGGGTACAGCTAGGAAGACATCTTCTGGTACTGGTCAAAGTCATCCTTTCTCACCCTACTTTCTCAACTAAGTAGCAGTCATCACTTTTCCACTTTTCTCAGGGGCATCTTGCTAATTCTGTTACTGTACATCTGTGTTTACTTTCAACTCACTTTTGTTTAGATATCCCTGAGCCACCTGAATAAAAATCACCTGGGATGATTGGTTACAAAAAAGATTTTTTGAATAAATATTTCTGTGTTTAAAGTTAGGAAATACACATTGGTCTCTTAAGACATTCACTTGAAGCCTGAGAAAACTTGCTCAAGCAAATCTGATTTGTCAAGAATTTGAGTTTATACAAAATGAACAATATTGGAAAAAATAAAGTATATTTGTTACATGGCATCTTTGCCGAAAGCAACACACACACACACGCGCACACACACACACACACACACACACACACACACACAATTTACAGCATTTGAGGAACTTTGCATTTATCAGAAAGAAGCTTTAGGTATAATGAATATAGATTTGTTTTTGTTTCCTATCCAAAGAGTATCCCAGATGTCTGGTGAGCGGAGCCTATAAAGCCACTACCAGACTCTGGGATACACATGAGCTCCTGCTTAGCTGTTGGGCTCAGGAGCCCATTCACTCCTGTTTTTCTCCTGTGGGATTATTCTGCATCAGATCGATTCCTTCCATACATGAGATTTGTGCTGTTGAAATACACTCTTGCTGAATGGATTCATCATAGCTAAGCATGCAGTTTTGAGTACATGTGTGCTTTTATTCACACACAGCATGTTAAAGGTTCTTCTGTATTTTGCTTATCATGTTTTGATCAAACTTTGGGGAAAGAACTTATCCCTTTTAAGAAATATATGTGCTGTTTTGTGGCTTTCTTTTTCAGATTTTGTTGATGGACCTATACACCACAAGGCCTTACTTATATCTGTGACTGTCTGTAGTTTACTCTTAGTCCTCATTATTTTATTTTGCTACTTCAGGTAAGTGTTAGATAGACACATGAAGTTTTGCACTCATAGTGAGATCCCTACATGAATGATCTTTGCTGCTGTAGCCTGTGAGGATTTCGTATCACAGCTTTCTTTGCCCCTAGATGTCAAGTTTATCTGAAAATATCTATTACCATAATAAAGACTTTCCCCAGTGAAGCTATAAATAGATGCTTGCTCATTTCTGTTTCAGACATCACAACCACTCAGATACATTCTCCACTCTAAGGAAACATGGATACATGGAAATTTTAGTGATTGGTAATGACTTGGGTTTAATTAAAAGCAAAGAAGAAACCATATGGGAGTTGGGAATTTCTTATTTCCTGGCTACAAAATTCCTCTAGTATTATAACATTTATAGAGCAAAAATTAAAATAAAAGTTTAGTTATTCAAAAGTTTTTCAGCCAAGAATTTACTTTCTACTTTGTGAAAGAAATATAATGGTTTAAAATGTCCATACCATTTGAGCATTCTAATATTCAGCAGTAACACATTCCATAAAGATATAAATTAATTGATTAAAATAAAATTTTGAAGACATTACAGTAGCATGTTTTAAGGTTTAATGTTATGTCATGGTTATTCTATTGTCTTGTACATTTTCTTATGTAAAAGAATCTCCTCGCACAGTTTTCTAAATGAAAAAAAAACTTGTATATTTACTTACCTAGGGAACTTAAAGGAAATGTTTCTAAGAAACAGATATTGGAGCTACCTGGAAATACTAATAGAATATAGTCATCTTTATAGCAATTGAAAGACATAGAAAAGGAAAATTGTGTATGATTGAATGAAAAACATTTCAAGGGTAGCAAATAGCGTTTGATCTTGTGTTTATTGCTAGATTCCATGATTAATGTTTGTCTGTGATGTTTTATATCTGTCACTGCATTTCTGTGTTTAATGTCATCTCCCTTATCCACGCTTAGGTATAAAAGACAAGAAGCCAGGCCTCGGTACAGCATTGGACTAGAGCAGGATGAAACTTACATTCCTCCTGGAGAGTCCCTGAGAGACTTAATAGAGCAGTCTCAGAGCTCGGGAAGTGGATCTGGTCTCCCTCTGCTGGTAGGAGAAGAATATAACATGAATTCCAAGGAAATGTGTTCAGAGGGGGAATGTCAGTTTCACCTTACTTATAGAGCCATAGAAAAGGAAAAGGTTTTGTGTTCATTAGGAGTCAGATCTTAGATGTGGGGCTTCCTGATAACATTTGACATGCTGAGGGTGAGGTTATTGTTCTTTATAAGTGCCTAGTTACAAGCCAGATGTTCAGAATCTTGATCAAGAAGAGTGGGTTAGAAAGCATTAAATGTTTTTGGTGAGAATTAAATTACTGTACCCTGACCTGGCTATTGAAGGCAAAAGTATTACCACCAACCTCTACAAAGAAAGAAGGCTGCATTTCACCTACAGAGTGAGCTGTCAGTTTAATGTCTAACTCAGGAGAGGTTAATTTTCTGATGGTGGGGACTGTCATCTTCCACAAGAACATATCCAAATCCAATGCATTCATTCCAAACCCAAGTCACTTGCTTGGCTGATAAAAGTGTTTGATTCTTTTATGACCATTGAGTAAGATTGTTGGAATTAAGGAGAGATAGTTATAATGAAAACAAATTTCCTTAATGAGCTTTATTATTTTAAGGAGAGATGGGGATTTATATATGAGTATGTGTGAATGCACACATGTCTTGGTCAGAGTCAACTTGGAGGAGTTGGTTGCTCACTGTGTAGTTGTGGAGGATTAAATTTGGTTTTAAGGACCAGTGCCTTCACTCACTGAGCCATCTTGTGGCCCCTTAGAAATTTTAAAGATTGTTAGACTTCAGGCTGTGATTCTGATTTGCATGGCTTCGGAACTTGGTTCATGTGACAACCTTGTATTTACCTTTATAGTGAAGTTTTGAGGTCAGACACAAACAACCTGTGTGCACCTATAGTCATGTTAGTCATGATAAGCAGAATGATAGTACTTAGGACTTCTAAAATTGCCGAAGTTCTGATGCCTAAACTGATTTTTTTAAGTTTGTATATTTATTATGTATACATTGTTTCTGCCTGCACACCAGATCTCATTATAGATGGTTGTGAGCCACTATATGGATGCTGAGACTTGAACTGAGGACCTCTAGAAGAGCAGCCAGTGCTCTTAACCTCTGAGTCATCTCTCCAGCCCTTCCCAAACTGCTTTTGATTTTTATGTGTTAATTCCTGTGTAGCAATTCTATAGTGTTTGTAACTCTTTAGTATTGTATTTTAGTTCTAAAGAAAAGCACAAATAGTGAAACCGACTTGGTAGTAATGAATTAGATGTTTCTGCTCTTGGAGTTGTAACTGGTTTGAGTTTAGTTTCTCCTGCCTCATCATCAGAAACTATAGTTACCTTTCTATATTCTTTGAATACTGCCTAAGCTTTGCCCAGATAGCATAGTGTGACATCTCCCATTGTCTGTAGATCTTCTTTTCCCGATTCATATGGATAGTATTTAAACTCCACCTTACTCCTGCTCTTTCGTCCTGTTCCCTGACCTGCAACCTTAGCTATCCTCCGAGCAAATTCATGTCCCTATGTTTTCAAATGTAATCACTTTGGGGAACATTCCTCTAGTCTGTGTCTCAGAGACTCCTTCATTTTATCTCTCAGTACTTCTCGATCATGTCAGCCTAGAGCCCAGGTGTCTTTTGTCATGATATTGTCCCTTTACTACCAATGTTGCAGTTTAAACAACTGCCTTACTTGGGGGTGGGATATACTCTATTGTATCTCCTCCTTATCCTTCCCAAAGTCTCTAGTCTACTAAACAGGATGTGCAGTCGGTTGTTATAAAAAGCTTTAGCTCTACAGTGTTACCACCCACAGGGACCCTGATTCTTTATTCTAGACCCCAGCCCACCACCAATGTTTGGCTTTTCTCTGGGTCGGCTTTTTATTGCTCCAGCAAAAATACTTCAGAAAAATAAATGCAAGGAAGAATTCTCATTTTTATTTCATTTTTTCCTACACTTTCTTTTGATCATGTTTTCCCTCCCCAATTCTTCCCAGATCCTCCCTACTTCCCTACTCACCAACTTCATGTTCTCTCCCAAAACACAAAGGGAGGCAGAGACAGATGAATCTTTGTGAGTTCTAGGCCAGCCTGACCTACAGAGGGAGTTCTAGGACAGGCTCCAAAGCTACTCAGATAAATGCTGTCTTGAAACACCTCCCCAAACATGTTTTTACACAAAGTAATATAGCTTACCACTAGGGAATTTAATCCTTATTAAGACCATCATTGTTTATGCAGATTATGGTGACCAAAGAAAGCAGTATGTGTCACTTGGTTGGACTAGAAACATAACATTGCTTTAATTTTATTGCTTTAATAGTCCCAATTATGTCAATCAGTTTGTATATGGAGAAGCCAAATTCCAATTCAGACTGAACCGCTAAATACATGTTATTGACATTTTTAACATGTGAAATAAATGTTAGATGAATAGAGAAATGTGTGTAGATAACAGCATAGAATAGAGTTTCCCAGGAGACTAGATCCATGAAAAAGTGATGTAGTATCAGCATTATGGCTGTAATATCTAGTCTTAAGATTTGAGCTTTGAGATAAACATTGGGACAGTACAGTGTAGTCAGTACTGTTATTGGAATGAATGGCTGTCTCACCTTAGGACTCATTGATTACTTATTTTTTTTAATGAAGTGGGAAATTTTATCTTCACTTATGTACCTATACATGGACATAGTATTTTTCAAGTTACTTTTGGAGACCTCTTTTTTAATTTCTTCACTTTTCAGAAAGAAGTAATATAAGGAAACTGTTTGAAGAATTAAGATCAAATATGATTTTCTTCACTGTGTAGTATATGTACACATTTAATATGTAACACTTCGAGTAGTATATATGTATATATACACATATATGGTATGTGTTACATAATAAAATATTACTATTTATATCCCACTTATTTTACATTGTATAGGAATGCAAAGTGGTTTCTTTCCTTTTTTCGTAAGCTGTCACCCAGCTTTTATTTAATTTATTTATTATTCTTTTGTATGCATTGGTGCTTTTGCCTCCATATATATGTGAGAGTGTTCAATACCCCTGGAACTGGAGTCACAGACAGTTGTGAGCTGCCATGTGGGTGCTGGGAATCGAACCCAGTCCTCTGGAAGAGCAGTCAGTGCTCTTATCCTCTGAGCCACCTCTCCAGTCCCTCCTCGGGATCTCTCATCCAAGTACTTGGGTGTGTTCAGGGTGGCGTGACTGTAGATACAAGGTAGTTTCTTTAACTCGACGTTAAGTCTCTTAGATTTTTATTTCCTTTCATTTTTGTATGCACATCTCTGTGTGTGAGCACAGGCTCTTGTGTGCTGCCGAGCCTGTGTGCTGTGGTGGTTGAAGAACAACTGTCAGGAGTGAGTGCTCTCCTGAAGTCTCAGTGGATCTGGGAAAAAATTAGATCATTATCCCTGAGCCATCTTGCCAGCCCGGTATTAAAGCTCTTGAATGAAGACTAGTAAGTCTTTCCCATGTATATTAATTCAGCCTATTTAAGCCAAGTATTTGTGTATATTTGTGTTTGTTCATACACACATGTCTTTGTGTGTATTGCTGAGAGATAGAGTATTGAGCATTGGTTATAACAACCTGTTTTCTTTCCTATAGTGTGTACACAGATATACACATTATAGAAAACAGATGTCTAACCATTAAATGAGATGACAATATTGGAATAGGGCTGCAATTCTTGCATTATTTATATATATGCATATGTGTAATTTATAGCCAGTGCACATGAGATAATTCTCTTTTTAGAGTCACAGTTAGAGTAATTAAATATTACAGACGTAGGCTGGTCAGTTTTCTACGTCAGGTAGCTGAGATAGCAGCTAATATAGAGAAAAGATTTGTTTAAGCTCACAAGGTTAGAGGTTCGTCTGTGGTTGCTTGTCTTCTCTCTCTGAGCTTGTGGTTGCACACTGAGGTGACAGTGCTTGGCAGAGCAGAATTACTCACCTCACGGCAAGGAAGTGAAACCAGAAGCTGAGAGTGCTGGGATTCCCGCTGTGGGCACATCCCCATGATCTCCACAGATCCTTCTAGACCCCAAGTCTTGAAGTTCCCACTTCCTCACACTTGAACCGCAGACCTTTGGGTGACACTTACCATAGAAATTATAGCAAATTACTGTAAATTTTATCTGCACACTCAACTCTTTTTTTTTTAAAAACAAAAAGGTGAATGTGATTTAGGTTGAAAATTTATCTACAGAAAGCAAAGTAGCATTAGTGAAATCAGTTCTTAAATTTCAAGTGTCTGTTCAGGTTCTTTGACAGTATAATCTTAAAATGAGAATAAACTTTCTTTTCTAGGCCTCACTTAATGGCGGAGCATCTTGGAGGTCTGTAGTCTCCCCCCCCCATTAGCGTCGCCAATGCTGTCAGTACGTTCACTAGAGAAGACATCTCATTTCTAGAAGAGAATCAGAGCTGTTTGAGAAGCAGGTTGGCATAGGTTCACCGAGCAGCGCTTGTGCATCTGTACGGGAATATGCTAGCAAGTTTCCTTCCAAGTGGATAAGCCAACTGCTTCTTTTCTTCCTCTCTCGATGCTTCTGCCGTCTTGTCAGGGGTAGTGGACATGTAGTACACCCAAGGCTGCCTCATCTGGATGTCTAACTGTGAGAGGAGGGCTACTTTATGCGTCGCCTTGTTTGCTTATTTTCATCGCATCTTATGCTTCCTAGATCATTAGTAGGTTTTTTTTTTAATCTTAATTTTAGGAAAACCACTCTTTGGGCAGCAGGATTTCAGCGTCATTAACAGTTTTAAGAGCGATCTCAGGACCTCTTGAGTTGATATTACCACCCATCCTGGAAACACAAAAGAATGCTAATTAAAGAACCTGCAGAATAATGTCCGTATCCTAACCCTTACAACTTGTTGCTTTGGACTAGGCAGTGAGAGAATTCTAGATCATGTGGATTGGCTATCACAATGGAGTGATCCTAAACTTAGAGAAACAGAAAGAAAAGCTTTACCTGATGTGTCACTACAAAGAGGACTTTGTATTTTTAATGATAAGGTTTTGCTAGTATCATATGCTAGTTTCCTTGCTTATGGATTTGAGGCAGATTATCCTATGTAGATCAGGCTGTTCTTCAACTCACAGTCTGCCTACTTGGCCTCCTGAGTGTGAGATTATGGGTGTGTATGCCCAGACCTGGCTGCTGATTCTTTCTGTCTACTTTCCCTTTCAGCCAGGGAACGGTTGATAAAGTACAGATGGTAAAAGCCATGAAGACAGAGACATTCAGTTTCCATGCCACTTAACTCCATGCTTCTCCTTTGTTTTTATGAGCTCGTTGTCATTTTCCAGCTGTGTTTTTCGCATTATTAAATGAATGTTTCTCTCCCTGTTGGCTTTCCTTTACCAGTTGCTCTGTTTGGACTACTCTTTTGTGTCTCCTCTCTGTAGTTTTCACCATGGCAAGTATCTCTTGCACTTCAAATGTGCATTTTTTTCTACCATCTCATTTTCCTTGCCTAGTCTTCATTTATTTTCGTAAACATTTTCTGCAGCAGTTCAGCACTCTGTAACTCAAAATGCCACTTTATTGTCAGAGGGGTTCAAGGCGGCCAGGCTGGGAGCACTCATGCTCCTTTACAGTGGCGTTCTTTTTTTGTTTTGTTTCTTATGAGCTCTCCTTTCCCCCTTCATTCCCTCATTGGTTTTTTTTTTTCCTCTGCTCTTCTCCACTTTAGGAATTTTGATAAATTTCCTTGTGCGCTCAATATTTTTTTGTCTTATTTAACAGATCCATGATTTGTTATGTAGAGGCAAGAATTCCTTCAGAGTATTAAATAAATCAATATAATGGTAAAATACTTTGGTCTGTCAAGTATGAGTTACTGTGAAATGATTTGTCATTTTTTCCCTCTATGAAAATAGTAATTGGTAGAAAGGAACATCTAAAAATTTGGAAGCAGTATTTGATTATTTAAAATTGGCAGTCTTCCATCTGAAATACACTTAAAAGAGAACAGCATAAATCAGTAAATGCACATAACTCATGTGTATAGAGAATCATGTGTTGTGCTCCCCCTCCTACGATGGATCTGTAGTGAGGTAAGTTTACTAACGATGTGTTTTGGGCTTTGCCAGGTCCAAAGGACAATAGCTAAGCAAATTCAGATGGTGAAGCAAATTGGAAAAGGTCGCTATGGGGAAGTGTGGATGGGCAAGTGGCGTGGAGAAAAGGTAGCCGTGAAAGTCTTCTTCACCACCGAGGAAGCCAGCTGGTTCCGAGAGACGGAGATCTACCAGACGGTCCTGATGAGGCATGAAAACATTCTGGGTGAGTCACAGTCTACGCAGTGATAGTTGGGGTTTCATCGCATTCTTCTGTCTTTCTCTCCACATCTGCATATGAACTCATCTGTCTAGACCTGTTATGAAACTTACAGGCTCTTTCTTTTGGGCATGAGCCCAGAGCCCACACGCTTCTGACACAAGATGTCACGGGAGGAATGACTATGGTGCTTCTGTGGGTGGGTGGTAGGCTGGGAACACAATACTCACCATGACATTGGTTTTTCTTCAGAAACAGGAAGTAGAAATGGAATACTAGAATTCCGTAAGGTTTTGTAGGGATTTGAAGGACCATATTTAGGTTTAAATGAGTGAAAAATCATAGGTATTTTTATTTGCAGAGATTACTTGTAGCAAGTGCTTATGTTCAGAGTTGATTTCCTTTTCCTTTCCTCAGGCTTGATGTGCTCTACCTGGGTCATTTGAGTGGGAGAGGACCCAGTCAGGGAAGCAGAAGGCCTGATTGAAGCCTTTCATACAACATGCCTTGCTTGTAACTATAGCACCATAAAGGAATTTCAATACCATTGATCGTGTGTGTGTCCTTTCTCCTTCTAATTTTGATCACCTCTGCTCGATATTAGTTGTTTAGTACCATCACAGGCATAGTCAGAAAACTAAGGGAGACACTAAACCTAAGACCTCAGGAAAGAAAGAGTATTTGAGCATATGAGTCATTCTTCATTCTTTCCAGGAAGCACATCTAATCCTTTTAATTCTTTTGCCTTTTAGGCTTCATTGCTGCGGATATTAAAGGAACTGGGTCCTGGACTCAGCTGTATCTCATCACAGACTATCATGAAAATGGCTCTCTTTATGACTACCTGAAATCCACCACCCTAGATGCAAAGTCCATGCTGAAGTTAGCCTACTCTTCTGTCAGCGGCCTCTGCCACTTACACACGGAAATCTTCAGCACCCAAGGCAAACCAGCAATCGCCCACCGAGACTTGAAAAGTAAGAACATCTTGGTGAAGAAAAACGGGACTTGCTGCATAGCTGACCTGGGCTTGGCTGTCAAGTTTATCAGGTTAGTATCCAGGTCAACAGACACACACTGTAAGATTCTTCGTGAGTGTTGAGGAATATCATAGACTTCGTGAGTGGTTGAGGAATATCATAGACTTCAGCTCTTCTGGAGATCAAAAAATGTCACCATTTTCTTGGTAACATGATGTGTTTGGGTTGGTCCTAGATACTCTAAGAAAGCAGACTGAGCAAGCCATGGGGAGCAAACCAGTAAGCAGCATCCCTTCATGGCTGCTTCAATTACTGCCTCCAGGTTCCAACCTTAACTTCCTGCCCTGACTTTTCTGAATGTACTCATAAACTGTAAAGTAACTTACAAGATGGTCAGTGAAGTTTTATCATGACAATAGAGGATATAACTAAGATGATGCCTAACAGCATAGCATTTGTAAGTATGGGGAGGTTTCAGGAAGAAGCAGCAACTATGTGGTGGGAAACCCATGCTTTAATGTTTGTATGTAATACAGTAAGGATTGCTTCGTAAATGTTTGCAATTGTAACCAAGGAACAAAGCTGCTGCTATTCAGCACTGCTATAATGCAACTTAAACAGGAGCATAGCATCTGGACACACATGCCCAGACTTGCTGGAGGTGGTGAGCCGACCTTGCAGGCTCCTCGGTACATTGATAGCCCTTATATAGCAGGGAGGGTGTCACACCCAGGAGTTGGGACTCTCCTTCTCTTTTTCTCTTTCTTTCTCTCTTTCATCAGGGTAGGCCCTTTAATCTAGGACATGTGTTCAACACAACCCACAAACTTAGAACATAATTGTTGATGTTACTGCAGTTTTGTTTTTGTAATTCAGTTGCCTAATTTTCTAGTCCCAACTTTGTAGGTTGCAACATATTGTTGCACTGGGCCAAGGTTGGACAAAACGGGTGAAAATGATAGAGGGAATGAAAAGAAAGGAAGGTTCATTTGGAATATAGTGGTGAGGAAACTTTTGCTTCACTACTTTTAGAGTGCTCATCCAGGCTGACCCTTTAATAGATACATCTCTGGTCCTACTTGTTAATATTTTTCCAAGGAACATTCAACAGCATGTAGAGAAGGACAAAAGGAAGAGGAGATGGTCACAAGAAAGGCCTGATGAGTTTCCATTTTCTCCTGAAGGTAAAATCTGAGATGTGATTTAATAAGGAATTCAGATAAGTGGAGAGCTTCACCATTTAGAGATGACAAAAAAATATTAAAGAAAGTGAACTGTGCTATAAATTTGAGTTTGTGACATGCATTGCACACTATCCAGTAATTAAAAGCATTAAATCCAGTTTCTCTTCAGAATTCGTTTTTGTGAAAGACAACTCTTTTCAGGTCTATCCTACAAGAATCAAACAGACATACGTAGTAATAATTCATCTGTTGTGCCTCTAGTTAGTAGAGTCTACTCCTCTCCTAGTTAAATTTCTCCAAAGCCGTTCCAGGGGTAACAGTCTTCTCAGTCTTCTGCTACCCCCTCCCCTGGCCTGCTCTCTTGAGAAACCATATCTGTGTGCACCTGACCCCTTAGCTCATTGTGACACCATTGCTCCTGGTGCCCAAAGTGCTCTCAGCATCACTGCACAATAAGTCGCTGTGCTTCAGGCTCCCTCTTCTCCTGAGGCTGGCTCTACTAATCCTTCCCCTTTAAATAGTTCCCTCTGTGAGATTTCCAGCTGTACCTGACCTTTCTTCTAGCTCCGAGTTTGACTAAACCATGTTTAAACATGGAGTGCCTGGTTTTTGACTTGTGCAGTTGAATGAGTTCTACTTTCATGAAACTCATGCTTTACCTTAGTATAGTGGTTAAAACCACTATACTACTTCATCTGTGTCCTTAGGAAAAGCATTGTACAGTTACTTCCTTTGTCTTTCTGCTTCCCTGTCTTTTCTTCAGGCTGCAGAATTTATTTTCCTGAAGTGCAGTTTGAGTGTCATCATAATTTCATTGCTTCCTGTGGCCTTAGGTTAAAATGTAGTTAGGGTCCCTTGCGGCGGTGAACTCTTGACTGAGCTTGGGCTTTTCTTGAGATTTATTCCCACCATGCTCCTTACTCCTTCCTGTTCGTTCTGAGCACCTTCTACTTCTCACACCCTCAAGTGCTTATTATTATTATTATTATTATTATTGTCTGTATAACTTACGTCCCTTTTCTATTTCACCGCCAACGATCTTCAGAATGCATGGACAGCTGGTGTTACTCATCAGCGGCCCTATACCAAGCATCGAGGCTTTTCTCACACCACTGCAGTGATCACTGGCTTATCTCTCCCTCCTGGTAGAAAGTAACCGAGCACATGTCTGTAAAAGTTCTATCTCCAGCGTCTTTGCCGTGACGATGGGGGTGTTTTAAGTTTTGCACACGAGGTAATTGAACGAAAACACATGGGCTATGAAAAGAAGAGAAGCATGCTCTCCTAGCTACAGAGAATCTGCACATGTGGACTACGCCCTTCATAACTGTTTATTGTGCCCATACTCTGACTTGTCTTTCTGTAGCAATACAGAACCACTGTGTGTTTTCTTCACCTATTCCGTGCTGCGGATACTTTGCTTCTGCTTCTGAGTCCCTAGCCTGGAGCATCCTGCCTTTCCATGTACTCTTCCCCCGTCTCTGAAATGCCTCTTAGTCAGAGCACCCATCTACACCTAAGAGAAAAGATGCTACCTCCTGGATTATCTGGCCCGTATCTGCCTACAGCTATCATTACTTTGAAATATGCCTCATTTCTCCTACTACTGCTCATTGCTACCTTGAGAGCCAAAGCTGTGTCAAATCCACCATGGAATTCCCTTTTGACATGACAGAGAGTTACAAATACTGCTACTGTTTTAAATCAGCAAACGTAGGGACAGTAAAGTAATTGAGGCAACACTGTCCTTGTGGATCTTCAAGTAAACTGAGCTTTTATTCCTGAAATTTACTTTTGTGTACAGGAAGGAATCTTGTGGATCCTGGCTCTAGGAAGAGGAGGAGGCTCTTAAGGGATACGTTGGGATAACTTTGGTGTACAATGTCCATTCGTCAGAGCAGGAGAGCATGAGGATGCTGGCTTCATGGCCTCATTTCCCTTTCCAGATGGAGGATGTACTGGATGATCTCAGACATCTTTATTTTCTTTGTGTGTCAGAGTTTTGACATCTTCCATTCTCAGTGCAGGGTTTAAGCCTTGCTTTATCCATTTCTCTGAGTCTTACTCTTCATGATGATTTGCGTTGTGTATCCGTGCACATGCAGTTACCTAGAGTGTTTTACTTCAGATGGAGTCATAGCTAACCCATGTTGATAGGAGAATTTCCTGTAAGTACTTAATATTCACTCTTGTTTCCGCATGGGTGGTAAGTGGTCTCTTAGGGTTTTCGGGTAATTTCTGGAAGAATCCCAGGGAACTTGAGAATCACAGAGAGCTCCATTGGTGCCTTAGGGACTTTGTGTTCACATAATACTTTTGCTCACGTTGGCTTCTTTTGTTGATATATTTCCTGCTCCAAGGAGATTTAATCCAGGTGATATCAGAAGATCCCTGACATCCCTGGGGAGGGGAAAACAATGCCATATGAAATGCCTTGGAGGAATGCACACAGCTTTTGTGATTTGCTCATTCAAGCAGCTTTCTAGTACTTCACTGCCTGAAGAAAACATTTTCTTTTGGAGAAATGAATCCTGGATCAGGGCATCTCAGGTGTTGACTCTTAAACAGAAGACCTGTTTTGTAGATCTCCCCACTGATGGTTGCGAGGTATCCGAATCCAGAAGAGGGTTGGCAGATGCTGAATTTCCCAAGCCCTTCTGATGCCATTTTCTTCTCTGCTTTTAATATACATGCTTAGAAAGCTACAGTAAATTTCACACACACACACACACACACACACACACACACACACACACACACACACACGTAGCTTTTAAACTCTGTCATCTAATTCATAGAACCAAGCTCGCTAGTGACAGTGTCAACACTCCCAGTAAATGTCTTTGCAGGTGTCCCCATCTTCAATGAAGGAGTTTTGGTTCTGAAGTCTTGATATACTTTGAGATTTTTAGGAATTTGATTTTTGAAACATTGTTTTAGTTGTATTTGTTGTTGCTGGTGGTGGTGCAATACAATGCCTGACAAAAGGAGACTTAAAGGTCATTTTGGCTCACCATAGGCAGGTGTATCTACAACGACAGGGAAGCCACAGCCCTGGTTCTGGGCCTATGTGGTAGCTGGGATGGTCAGGTGTCAGGTCTCCCCGATCCTTACCACCGGGGCAAACTCTCCATCGCTGTCCCAGCTATGTCACCCAGTGTAGCAGGTAGCAAGGGGCAGGATCAGTTCTTCCGTTTTCACCCTCAGGGCTGGCTCATCCACACCCACACCACCAGGGCCAGCTCTACTCTGTTGCCCAGGCAAGGTGCAGCGCGCACTCTCCAGAGTTCTAAGGCTAGTGAGGGGCAGGTGCTGTCCTACTCTGGTCAGCAGGCAGCAAGGGGCGGGTCCAGTTCTCCTACCCTCAGACCCTAGACCTGGCTCACTTATACCCACACAATCCTAGCATTTAGGAGACAGAGGCAGGCTAATATCTGTTAGCTCAAAGCTAGCCTGGTCTACAGAGGGTGGTCCAGGACAGCCAAGGTTACATAGAGAAACCCTGTCTCAAAAAAAAAAAATCAAAACCAGAAAAGAAATTCTCTTCATTCATATTTGGAACATCCTGCCGGGATTCCCAGGAGCCCATTTCCTCTTTGACATACCTTCTTTACATTTCTTACACGCTTGAAGAAAACTTTCCCCTGTCTTGTGGAAATTCCTTCTTTGACATACCTACTACTGTATTTTAAATGTGACTTGATTTATGTATTTCTTTGTTCTGCAAAACTGTAACACCTCGTGTAACCACACCCACATTGGAACATGGGACTTGAAAAAACCTAAACCTTTGTTCCTGGGTTACCATCAGTCAGAATAAACGGCTCCTTGTTCTCTTTAAAATGAGAGCTGTGGCTTTTGCATCAATATTATTCATCTTCAAATTACATTTATTTTCTAACTCTACTTAAGTTTGTAACCCCTTGGTACACACATTAAGAAGAACAAAAGCTTGATTCGGTCTAGTGGGAATATTAATTATGAAATTATAACTATGACAATCTATTCCTCTATAGCCTCTGCCTCCATCAGCAGCCTCTGGGATTAACCCCACAGTTCTCCACAGGAAAGGGAAAGAGCATCTCTCCCACCTTTCTCCATGGGAAAGCTAAAGAGCTCATATTTCCCTAATATTTAATCAGGACCCACATTTATGACAGAGTGTTTTCAGTTCTTAGCATAAATCCATTTTTTTAGCTAACTTTATCCAATAAATCACTTTTGAATTTCAGGGTCTTATTATCCTTAGTCCTTAAAATATACCCTTTCTAATCATTGACCCTGATAGGTTGCATTAAATATATGTTGGTATATTTAATAATGAATATTTATAATATAAACTTATATAGGACATCTCAAAGGGCAATTGTGTTACAGCTGAATATTAACAAATGATAACAGCTTGCCTCATTTTTTCTAGTTTTTTCACAGAAACCAAATGTTACATATAATATTTTCCCTTCCATATTTTGTTCCTTTTAATGTCTCCCAGAAGCAACCGATATCCTGTGTACACTTCCTGTGTACAGTCTTTGGGTTTGACGGCTCGCGTATGTAGCCTCTGCAGCATCTGCAGTTACTCTGCATTGGAGTTACTCTCTCTACCCCCACACCTATTTACATTTGTATCTTTTCTTGTTGACTTTTTTTTTCTCACTGCTCTGCCCTCCTCCATGGGAAAGGAGGTCGTAATAAGCTGGAGACCCCTGACCTTGTCTGCCCCTCTTTTGCCCCCTGACCTTTTTTCTGTGACCCTCTCTCTACCCTCTTCTTATAAGCATGGCGGCTTCTGAATCCACTTTCCTTTTTCTTCCTTTATTCTCGGTATGCCAGTGTTCAATTTAATTTCCATTCTTGGTCTTAAGGATTAACAGAAGCTCATTTTTTTCCTCTGCTATTACTTGAGGATAGGAGCAATCCCACTAAAAGTTAAAGAGGTGGCCCCTAATTACTTTCATGTGTTTTATTTTTGAGATTACAATTTAATTACAATATTTTCCCATCTCTTTCCTCCCTCCCATTCTTTCTGTATACCCTACTCACTCTTCTCCAAAATATTGGCCTTTTTCCCCACTGATTGTTATTGTTTGTAAATATTTGTATAAGCATACATAGTCCTACATATAACCTATTGACTCCAAACACTGCTACTTGTGGGTTTTCACAATGGACAGTTTGAACTGGACAGCCGATTGGTATACTCTGTCCTGGGGAGGACTAGTTCTCCTGCTCCCAACTTAACTCTGTTGCCTATACTTGTCTGCATATGGTTCATGGCTCAATGGGCTTCTCCCCATCCAGTTGAGCATGGTCAGTGATGTCATCTTTGTTCAGCTCATGCTTGGTGTACAGCCTGTGACGTTACTAGGAAGATACAATCTCACATCAAAGTCCCTGATCCTCTGTCAATAGAAACATGCCTGATGTAAGATGCAGAGCTCTATTTTAGAGAATATGAAATCTGATAGTATCCGGAAGGGGTTGCCTATAAGAAGCATGTTTGCTGTTTAAATGTGGCGCTAAAAGCATTTACCATTAGATTAATAATAGTATCTCACAAAATCAATCTGGCCAATAAAATTCCCTCTATCTGTCTGGATATTAATTCCAGTTCATTCTTGTGGTTTTCCCATAACGGCTTCACATTTCTTTTTTAAATTATCCACAGCAAAGGTTACTGTTAGCAGACCTTTTGCTTCTTCCTGGTTCGTTTTCTTCCGACTGTGTGCAAGCTGTGTGTTGAGTGAAGATAAATTGGAGCGTTCATCTTCAGGGCCATACCAAATGACTACAGCAGATGTTCAGGGTTTACAGGAACTTTAAAGTCTTTACACTGTTAGATACGTATTCAAATACTTCTAGTGGAGACAGTTTCTGCTAATCATAGGGAAGATGCTATTCCAATACCATTGGTAGACACAGGGGAGGGGAGAAGCAATGGCCATCTTAAGCATCGTTAGCAAGTGGGAGGAGCTGCTGTCTTTGCAGGTGATGAACCTTGAGAACCGTGAGCATTTTCTGTTGTACTAGCTGACGCTGATGGGGGAAGTGTTAGAGATGAAGGGGAAGAGTCTAGAGGCAGATCTTACTGGTGTCATTTGGTAGCCTTTATCTTTCAGTTCCCCTGCAGAGATGTATCTTTACCACACATCACCAACCACTGCCTGTTCTCCTACATCCAAATAAACATGAAGGAGTTGTGCGAGTGGGTGTCAAAAGTCCCCATCCCCTGGGGCCACAAGGTATCTCCAGCTTTCCTGATGCACTCCTGGGTGTCCTAACCTAAGATGGTTCTGTTTTTCTTTCTCAGTACATGTTCTTGAATACTAGAGTCTTTAGATATACCTCTTCCTGCAATTTTTTTCTGTCTAAAACCTAAAATTCCATAATTGGGACCTCTATTACACTATCCTGATGATTAAAATTGATACATTGTAACACACACGGACAATATGTCAACTCACACAATAGTTGTCAGCAGGCATAATAGGAGAGAGACTTTTCTTTACTAGTACTTTGAGAGTCGCTGGTTTCATACAGTGTGTTGGGTGATACTTTCCCACCTGACATTTTTCTAGCTTCCCTTTAAGCCTATTCCTGGCATGCTTTCCTCCCTCATAAACTATTGCCAAGATGTTAAAGCCAGTTATGAGAGCAAGTTGATTAAAATGTACAGAGAAGAAAGGTACATTTTAGGTATTGTTTGCCACTGTTTGTTTAATTTTTGAGACAGATTTCATGTAAGTCAACCTGACCTCAAATTCATTACATAGTTGAGGTTGTCTTTGAACTCCTGATTCTCTTTTTCTTCATCCCAAGAACATCCCATTTAGTTTACATGTGTACAACTAAATAGTTTTGTATTAATATAATTACGTGTGTTGGGGTTTCATTCTCATTTAGTTTAGCATGTGGTACGGATGTTTAATCTTTGAATGCTCAAGTTTCACCGAGAAATACTTTCTGAGAAAATGTTTTCTGTTCACTCACAGTTTTTCTCTTTGCATCGCCGCTGACATGCTCTTTCAGAGAGCTACAGCAGCCTCTCCAGTGCTGACGATGCCTCTCTTTGCTTTTCCTTAGTGATACAAATGAGGTTGACATTCCACCCAACACGCGAGTGGGCACCAAGCGCTACATGCCTCCAGAAGTGCTGGATGAGAGCTTGAACAGAAATCATTTCCAGTCTTACATCATGGCTGACATGTACAGTTTTGGACTCATCCTCTGGGAGATTGCGAGGAGGTGTGTTTCTGGAGGTAAGCAAGAGATATTGGAAAAGCTACTACTCCTGCGAGATGTTTACAAAACCTTTCTGATCAGAAAGGATTAGAGTTGGTGTATTACATGAAGTCTCAGATTTTCTTTCCTTTCCCCCATTATTCCTGTTGATGCTGGAAACACCTATTAAAACCATCTTTAAGTGGCTATCTCCTCCCCTTCCCTGTCTAGTGAATATTCTAGACTCAGTACCAACTTCCCCTGGCTTGTCACACATTACCCTCTGTTTCTCTTTCTACCATCTCACCTCTCTGTTAGAGTTCTTCTAACAGTTGCTCCAGCAAGTCAACACCTTCTCCTACCCCATTCACCTTCTCCCTGCTGACCTGTGGGACCTCATTTCCAACCCTGCTCCTGTATTATCTGTACTTCCTCTGCAAAGGTAGCCCAAAGATATTGAAGAGTAGGACATCCATTCCTGAACTCTCATTATTTTTGTCAAAAGGAAAGTAAAGGAAAATATAGTAATTGCTCATGATAATTTCCCCACAAGCATAAGAATTCCTAATAAGACCAACTGCTTGACATGAGTTCTGGGAACCACACTCTGGTCCTCTGGAGAGGCAGAAAGTTCTCTTAACCACTGATCCATCTCTTCAGCCCCTACTTCTTTCTGAATCTCATGTAGCTTGTATATATACCTCCCCTACCTAATCCATCCATGTAATAAGCTCAATAGATACAGTCTTTATCCTCAAGATGTTTCAAGATCAAAGTCTCTAGCATTAGAAAGCGCTCAGATGAAGTGATGTCTCCTGTTGAATAGGGCCCAGTTTCATTACCATGTGTACGGAGATTACAATGAATCAAACAGAAGAATAAGAAAGACAGATGTCATAGTGCTATGTGGTCACAGCAGGTATGCACAAATGACAAACAGGCAGTGAGTTTGAAATGCTTGAAACAGTTTGAAATCTGTGGGTCCCTTATAGTCTATGTGAGTCTGAATTTACAAAAAAAAGGAACATAACACATAACCCTAATTTTCACTGAATAAATCCCCAGTGAAATTTATTATTGTTATTATTTGTTTTTTGAGAAAGAATCTCATTGTGTCGTTCAGGTTGGCACACTCTCTCTATGTAGTCAAGGCTGGACTGGCACTCTCTATGTAGTCCTGCCTACCTTTGAACTCAGACCTGTAAACTTTCTGCCCCAGGTTCCCTAGTATTGATAGGTATATGGGATCATCCTAATGGATTTAATGTGGTGGCAGATCATTTTAGGACTTGGTTTCATCCTATTTAGGTGAACAGTGACAGCATTCTGTAAAAAAATGGCTTAGGAAATCTTGGAGGGTTCCAGCATTAGAGGACAGGGGTTACTTAGAATCACCATTAGGAGCTCAGTAGAGAATGTTGAAAAAGAGCATGATAAAATCGCCTACCTTCTTAAAGGACGGGGCAAAAAAATTAAAGTAAAATTAGTTATCAGATAGGCTGAGATAAATAAAATAGAAAATTTAAAGAAGAAAATGAAAATCAGATAATTTTCAAACCCAAGATGAATCATGGATGGTACTTTTGGATATACAACTTTTCAATATTGAATGTGCAAAACTTCTTATGGTTAAACACAAATAAATGAATCTGACATTTGTTTAAGTAGGATGCTCTTCCAAACTTCTGATGTTCTTAGTCTCATGTGCCAGTAATAGAAGCAGTTAAATGTGATGTGGCATTGATTCAAGACGTGTCTTCTAATTTTACATTGAGACTTAATATGAACTTAAAAATATAACTAGTTCATGCAAATTGTAGATACTTAACTTTTGGAAATTAGCTGGGGAAGGCTTGAGGACCTATGATAATATGCATCATTAGGTTTCCAATTCCTGTGTTTAATATTGATAGTTTATTTTTTAATTGAGAAGATTTGTATGTTAGGCATATTTGTAACCAGTTCATAAGAAATAATAATACTAAAAAACCATTTCTTTAGGTATAGTGGAAGAATACCAACTTCCCTATCATGACCTTGTGCCCAGTGACCCTTCTTATGAGGACATGAGAGAAATCGTGTGCATTAAGAAATTACGACCTTCATTCCCCAATCGGTGGAGTAGTGATGAGGTAAGACCAGACTTGGGGGAGGGTATGGCTGACGTCTGAATACGCTTCTATTTTGCCAAAATTCTTTTTTTCTCTTTCCTTATTGTTTATTCTATGTGTCTTTTACATCATTTATCTTGATTTCATTCATGTCCCTGTCCCTTCCATCTATCCTCCATCCCTCCACCCCCCAACCACCACAATAAAACAAAATTTAAGAGAGGAACGGGAAAAGAGAAAAGGGAGTGATTAAAAATCTCATCAGAGAAGCTGCAGTGAGACACAGTGCGTCGAGCAGTAAGCACGTTTGTTTGTGTACCTTTATTTGCAAGCGTTCATTGCAAAGAGTCATTGAGCTGGTTCGAGGCCTCTGGTTTCTGCTGTGCTGTTGATGCTGGACCCTCCCTGGGACTCCTCTTGGATATCCTGTTGTTGCCCTGTGCTGTGGAGATCCTGCAGCTTTGGGTCTGTGGGTCAGGCTCCTTGGCATGTTCCAGCCGATCATAGATGGGGTGGGTATGAGGCAGGTCCAGTCATAACCTTAGTTCTAGGCCTGGGCAGCTGCAGGGTTGGCCCCCCCCTGCCAGTTTCCACTGTCCTCACCACCAGGGAGCGCTCTCCATCATTGCCCCAGCTGATTCACCTCTTGTAGCAATGAGCCAGGGGCGGGGCCAGTTCTCCCACTGTCATGCCCTCGGGATGGCTCTCCCACACCTCTACCAACAGGACCAGCTCTACTGTGTTGCTCAGGTGAGGTACAGGGGCCACTCTCCCAAGTGAGCTCTGTACTGTTTAGGGACAGGGACAGCTCTCCCACTCTTAAGACCCCATGTCAGTTCCTTCCCCTGTCTTGGGCATTGATGGGCGGGCAGGGGGTAAGGAGGAGGTGGGCATCAGGTGAGTAATGGGGACAGTTCTCCTTTGCTCACAACCTCAGGGCTGGCTCATCCTTACCTCTAACTACCTGGCCAGCTCTGCTATGCTGTCTTGACAAGGAGGGGGGACTGCTTTCCTGAATGCTGCCGCTGGTGAGAGAGAGGGTCACCTCTCTCATCTGTTGCAGGTGGTAAGGGGCGGAGGGTAAAGGGGGGCACCTCTCCCCCACCCACATCAGCCTGTGACAGACAAGTATTGGGGGCAGCTCTCCCATGCTTACAACTTTGGGGCTGGCTGTCCCTCACCTCTGCCAGCACGGTTGGCTCCATTACGTCACCCAAGCAAAGTACAGGGTCTACTCTCCCGAGGGTTGAGGCTGCTGGGGGTCAGCCGCAGCTTTCCCATCAAGCATTGAGAGGTGGGAGGAGGGAAAGTCTCCCCGATCCATGCCTCCACATGAGTAACGGGGACAGTTTTCCGACGCTCACAACTTCAGGGCTGGCTCACCGACACCTTCCACTAACAGGGTTGGCTCTATTACACTGCCCTGATGAGGGGCAGGTCCTGCTCTCCCAAGTGTTGCAGCTGGTGGGGCTCAGGGACAGGGACAGGGACAACTCTGCCACTCTTATGACCACAGGGCCAGCTCTCCACCCCCCTTCCTCAGGCATTGATGGGTGGAAGGTGAAGGAAGTGCACCGCCCCCCGCCAGTTTGTGCTGCCATATGGCAGACGAGAGCTGGTTGCCAAAATTCTTAATTCGCATCACTAAAATTCATTTTGATGGTAACAGTAATGCCATCTCATTGCAATATTTGTATATCTGTACTGCATCAAATCTACCCATTTTTCTTCATTTTGTCAATTATACAACATAGTGAATGGTCAAGATGGAGGCTACATAACACAGTGTGTCATTATTTCATGTATCCGCAGCGATGTGTGAGCAGAGGCTATTGTTTCTTTCTCTCTGTCTGTTCTAAAGCACTGTGACTTTCTCTCTTCATGGTAAGTGCCGTCTTTCTGGAGTTCTGGTAAACAACAGAAGGCTGGGGTTTCTCTACAGTGACATGATACAAGGACGCTCTGCTGACCGTTCTCGGTGGTGCTGACCTCTTCATCAGCAAAAACGCTGAGGCCTCCGGGGTGAGAGGGATCACAGTCCTTTCGAAGTTGACCTGATCTTTGTTCGCGGCTCACAACAGCCTGTACTGTACTCCCGGGATCTGGGGCCTCTTGTGGCTCTTCTGTACTCACAGATGTGTGCTCCTAGCAGCCGCATATACAGCACACAATTTAAAATGGAAATATTTTTATTTTTGAAATTGAAGTATAATTTCCCCTTCTCTTTTCTCGCACAACCCTTCCTGTGTACCCCTTGTTTTCTCTCAAATTCATAGCCTCCATTTCTTTAATTATTGTCTTACACACACACACACACACACACACACACACACGTATGTGTATTCCTAAATATATAATACAATCTGCTTAGGCTATATAAAGTTACTTGGAGGTATATGATTGTAGGGCTAACCATGATGAGAAGAGGAAAAATTGTCTTTCTCAGGGAAGAGCCCTTACTTTGGTTATCCTGTAGTGTGTGTGCATGCGTGTGTGTATGTGTGTGTGTGTGTTAAATTAAATCCCAAGAGGTTATTTGAGCTAATCTGTTTACTGCAAGGGTTTAGATGTGAACCCACATGTGTGTGGCAGACTTCGCAAGGCTGGATCAAGCGAGTGGAGCAGAGCCAGACTCTGGCCTTGTTTACCGCTCCAGTGTCTCTCCGTCCACCTCTCTGCCTTTCCTCTCCCCCAGTTGAGTCTCTGGCAGGCTGGAAATCCAAGAAGAGTTTGAAGCACATTCAGATAAAGAAGACTCTTATCAAACATGTACTGAGCCCACCCAAAAGAGGTGCATAGAGAGAGTGTGGTGCATAAATAAGGTGTCCATGTAAATTCATCTAAAGTAACTAGTCCATTGGCCCAGTGTGTAGCTCTTGCATTGCTACTGGTATGTGCTTCCCAATAAGCTGTGCAGAGGGCATCATGAGACGCTGGAGTTATATTCTGAAGGAGACTGTGGGTATCGGTGTCATTTGAAAGTTCTTCTGTGTTGATTACTAATGAATGGAAATTGTGCTATGCTGTAAGAACAATTGATAGACCATGGGCACATCCAGAGGAGAGTTTTAGCAAAGCCATGCACAGGTCATTAATCTTGCTAAGTGGCACAGCCTTGTGCCACCCTTAGAGCAGACTGCGATGATAAAGGAATAGCCGTGTATATTTGAGCAGTACAGAAGTAGATAAAATATTGAAACACATTACATGTTGTAAACAATCTGGGACTATAGAAGGGAATTCAGACATACCAGGTGTCATGTTTACATAATACTGTCTTTGAAGTCATCCTTGAATATCCTCAAAGCTTCTTTTTTTCTCTGGTCATAGGGAGATATGAAAATCTGTGGGAGTCATCATTTCACACACACACACAAAAGTTCGAGTGAAATTTTGAGTCCATATTTTACTGGTGCCTTAAAAATGTATTCAGACTTCATGAACACCAGCTAAAAGCCAAACCTTGAGCGCCTGTCGAGAGTACATTCTTCTGACATCCCCCAATGTTCCTTTCTCTTTCAGTGTCTCAGGCAGATGGGGAAGCTTATGACAGAGTGCTGGGCTCACAATCCTGCCTCCAGGCTGACAGCCTTGCGAGTCAAGAAAACACTTGCCAAAATGTCAGAGTCCCAGGACATTAAGCTCTGACATGGGATACTTGTGGACTGAGCAAGAGATTTTACAGAAGCATACGTAGCCCAAGCCTTGAACATCGTCCTGCTGCCCAGTGGGTTCAGACCTCCCCCCTCAGGGAGCAAGCTGGACAGACATAGAAGGCCCCAGAAACACTGATTCATCATGGCTTTCTGAGGAGGGGAAACCATTCGGGTAACTTGTTCAAGATATGACTCATGTTGCTTTCTAAGAAAGCCCTGTATTTTGGGATTGCCATTTTTTAAAAAAAAGATACTTTAATTTTACCAAAATAAAAAAAATATTGTAGATGTTTTAAGGTTTATACAGCTATAGTTTAAATTACAAAAAAAATTCTTCGTAGAAAATTTTGTAGAAGTCAAAATGTTTTTCCATTGGCAAAATGTTCTTGCACTCCACAAACCAAAACAGTCTTGAGAGCATAAATTACAATCCAACTTCCCCGCTCCCCTGCCCCAGCCACCTCAGACTGTTTGGGCAAGCCCTGCTGTGGGCTGCCATTGCAGTGTGAGTGTACATGCCTACAGGTCCCACCTATCTGGGACCACAGTTTAGAATCCGGCAGGTGGACCTCTTGCAGCTTCAGCCAGTGTGGGACAAACGAAGGTTTTATGTCACTAATAGAAGTGTGTGTTGGTAGGCATTTTTCAGAACCACGCCCGTTTCTGGTTGCATTGGGCAACTCTCTCCAGTAATTGCCCTCCTGTTCCTTAAACACAAGCCAAGGTTTCCTCTTGTGCGGAGAATCAGCCTGGGCCTGCTTGTGCTCTCCTGAATCAGAAGATCAATACTAAATAAAACCATCACGAGTATGGGAGAGACAAGGTACTTTGCAATACAAGTGATTTGTGCTTGGGTTGCAAGAAAAAGATGCCAGTAAGCCAGGGCACAAGTTGAGGGTGTAGATACGAGAGCCCATTACAGAACCATAGGGAAGTAGTATACACACCATAGTTTGTATCGACACAGATAGTTTAATGTTGGTGTCTTTACTAAATCTTGGAGTCAAGAAGTAGAGAGGAAGACTGTCAGGTTAAAGTCACTAAACTTCTATTTAAAAATAAGCTTCAGGTGGTGGGTTGAACAGAGAGAAGTTAATTAAGTCATTAAACATCATGGCTGCTGTGGTTTATTCCAGAATAGACATGGATCCGGTATAGACCTGTTAAGTGATTATTTCACACCTTAGGCACAACTCATTCATTCTAATGTACATTTCCCTAATAACTTATTCTGTTTCTCCATTATGGCATGTGAACAAAACAGCTTCTGATTCAGCTCTATGTGGTTTTAACTTTTGACTATATGAGCAAAGTCACTGACAAGCCAGTATTCCTTAGAAACAGGGCCACAGTAAAGTAGAAAATGCCACTCCACCCCTGCAACTTTATCCATTTATTTCCTTGCTGTGTTTCTTCCTTAATGATTTGAAATTCCTTACTGGTTATTAAGGACAGTTAAAATACTTTGCCTCAGAAAATGACATTCCTCCCAGAGTACTCCAGGGGGCAGTGTTTTCCTATACATTTCACTACTGGGTACTTGCAAGATGGAGACTTTAAGAAAAATTGACAGCTGTGTGAGGAATGAGGAAATATTTTATTCTCTTCTAGAGTAGACGTTCAGCTGGTAGACTGTTCATCTGGAAAGATCTCTGGAGTGACAGTGTCTGCCAGAGGCACTCGGAGTTTGGGAACACTGTAGAGAAGTGTGCCCTTTCTGTCCCAACTCACTGCCTGGTACCACAGAACCATGTTTTGTTTGCCAGTAAAAAAGAAGAATTTCTTAGTTCTTGAATTTGAAAAAAATAATGTGTTGTTAATTTAATGGTTATCAGATTTTGTTCTTGCTGAGGTCAGTATCCTCAGCTGAGCCACTGAAGAATCCTTTCTCTGTTAAATTGTGTTTTCTATAGACAGTTTTGCCATGTATTTGTAAACTGAGTGTGGCAGTCATCTGGGCTTGGAAGGAAAAAGCCTTAGTGCCTGGACAGGTCTATCTACAAACACCCAAGTAAGCATTTTGCTAGTTAACTAGTTTTGATTTCAGTTCTGGGTTTTCCTTAGGTTTAAGTAAGATTGAGGAACCTCTTAAGTCAAGCTGTGTTTTCTTAGTAGATTTTAAACATGGGTAACTTCAAATTAGAGTTTTTTTGTGGTGAGGCTGTTTATGATGTAAATTTTATTAGATATCTAGGGTTCCAGTGAAGAATGGGAGAAACTTAAGGATGCCCAGATTTCATCCAGATTATTCATTTTATTGCTTTTGGAAAAATCAACAACTTATTTCTAATTATCAACCATATTTATTCAGTATGAAAATCTTGAAAATTATTCAGATACTTTAAAAGATCCACTCAGTTATTACCGATTTTCAATGAAATTATAATTTATAACTTATTTATGAGTATAATTTCTGTCGTAAGAAAATCTGTTTAGTAAGACTAAGTTGTTAAGGACTACCTGTTCACTTCCCAATAATCCATGCTTTTACACTTCTAGCATATCAGAAGTGAAAGTTATTTTCTCTTTTGCTTTGGCTTCCTGCAAATTAGTAATATGATTGACTGCTGCTTACCGTCAGGGCTATTTCAAAGAGTAAGATTTACTTCTAATTCCTCTCCCCCAAAGGAACCTAAATTATTAATTGTTAGATAAACTTTGTATGTTCAAGTTTATGGTTGATGTATGTGTGTATATATTATATAAATATAGATGTATATGTAAATAATGTTCATTCTGGAGTCTGGCACAACTCTAGTGCGTAGATTAGAGAGTAAAATATTATGGATGATAAAGTCCTAAATGAAGCATAGTATTTATTTATGGAAGCATGTACATTGTTAACTCAAAAATGAAGAGCAGTGAGCACCATGTCTGACCTCTTGGACAAGGTACCCACAGTCACTACTGAGCAGGATTTATATTCCTCAAATGGAAAACTTCTTAGATAACATGCTGGGATTTTAGACACAAGGGCTTCCTTCACACATTTCAGTTGGTGTGCAGTCAAGGATAACAACTTAATAATGACTGATTTAATGTTCCTGGGGTCATGCATGTTCATCGGGAATTTTATATTGTTCACCTGTTCTCATACTTCTTTGTGGATGGAAAGGCAGTAAGAAAAATACATTTTTAAAAAAATTTGAACATGTTTTGGTGGTTATACCACCTCTGAAACCCCAAGTCCCAAAAACAGTGGAAATGAAAGGGACTGCATCAAAATTGATGCAATTTAACAAATGGAACTAGTTGTTACACAAGCTAATGCCCTATTTTTTTAGGAGAAAAGCTGGCAATATATGGGGGTGTCGTTTTCTGTCTGTTTCGAAAGAAGACTCATTTGTGTTCTTTAGGGGGAACCAGTGCCTTATGGAATTTGTATATACTGTAATTATTCAGGGTTAGGGAACAAACACTTGTATTTGTTACAAATTGTGTATGACCTGTTTTCATATTACCTTCAATAAATGGTGTCATTTTCCCCATAGAAAAGCTATGACTGTTATCTCGTAGTTGTGCCTTTTCTTTGTCTTTGAAATGACCTCATGACAGCAAGTGGGAAGGCAACCATGGAGAAGGCAGAGCAGGTAAGTGCATGCTCTATCCATCCGAGGAAGGTGAGAGTGGATCAGCACCTTACACTCTCTGTTTAGGAACCACAGTCACCTGGATGGGGGGAGTAGTTGGTGGTTAGGAATAAATGAGGAAAGTGGAAAGTTTCAGTGTGGAAAACTACAGCTTACCGGGGAAACAGCCAGCTGGCCGTGGGCAGTGCTGAGGACCAGTAGAGGTTGCTAATACTAAATGTGGAGCAGCAGATCCCAGAGCTGCATGAGGACCAAGGCTTACTCTTGCATCAGTGCTGTGATAATAGGGGTCAGTTTGGACTTCTGAAGTCTGTGTCTTCCCCTTGAAGATGAGACCAGCAGTAACACCTATTGCACAGAGAGCTTCTGAAGATGAAATAAAGTGTGTGCTCAGCCTATGGGAAACATTCAGCTATTTAGTACAGGGTCATGGTGCTTCTTGTTTTTGTTCCTTGTGTCTTTTTTTTTAATCTCACTTCAGATATAGGTATAGAGACAACATCTTAGGGTTTAATCAACAAGGAAAAGAGGAATTATTATCAAAGGGCTATGTATGTGCCCTGGGTCTCCAGAGTAGAGCATAAAGCACAGCTTCTAAAGGGAACGAAAACTGTATCTGACAGTGCTTGTATAATGTGCTAGTGGTTCCTAAGGAGAAGTGTGACTGAAATCCAGATTTTGAAGAGCAAGACTGAGGACAGGGTGTCATCTGAGGTGGTAGGCTTAAATCTGTGGACATGATTGTTGGTGACGAAAGCCTAGAGGCTACGCTTCGCGGTGTGTTCTTTCACATTTTGAAATCATCAGGATGGTTTCAGCTTTAAGAAGATTTGATCTTCTTGAGCTTCAAGAAGAGACTAAATTCTCCTAGGGACGTGAGACAATGAATAGGAAGTCAATTGGGGAAATGATTAGATCTAGAGATGGACTTGAAGGTCCTAAGCACCAGAAGGGCAAGAAGTAATGGCAACGGTAAGGAAGCCTCAGGATGGTGTGAAAGAAACTGTCTCTTTCTGTGGTGGGAGTGAGACCCTTGTTCTTGACTTAATGGCAATGTCATGGAAGCAGAAATCCCTCTGCAAGGGGAAAGGGGACCACAGTTGCTCTTCCACTGAGTGTGAGTTAGGAGGGCTGGATGGGAAGCTTGCCCAGGACTGTTTGTATTGGACAGTAAGAAAGGTTCATGACATAGTAACCATGATTGAAAGGTACAATGCTTGGCACTTTAGTCTATTGTACTTGTGCCAAGGGTAGATGCCCAAATATTTGGGGTTCAGATTAACTTAGCTCTATTCCCTCATTTTCATGATTCTTCAGGAATATGTAATATGTGAATCCTAATATTTTCACCTGTACCATCAAATAAAATGTCCCTGGATACTCTTATTAGAAAAAAATAAGATGAATATATAAAATATATAGCCACTTGTGATGGGAGCCCTTCTTTTCTGACAGCTTTGGTAGATGTACAGGGAATGACAGTTGAAAGCCCGAGGAGGCCCCATCCTTTTTATTCTCCAACTCTGACATGTTATGGTTCAAGCCAAGCTTCTCATAGGACTCAAAGGCAAGTATCAAAACTGGGCCAAGTAATGGGTTCTTCTCTTTCTGTGGGTCACTTTAGGGGCAGGTTTGTTTTCTCATCTGAAATAGCAGCAAAGTGTACAGAAGTCTCCTCATTCAGGAGAACTGTCTGGGCTATGTAATTCCTACTCAAGCTTCTGATATTTACCCATTCAGAGACTCTCTGGAACTGAGGATGTGTTCAGGGCCAGGTCAATCTCAGGACTCTAATGACCTCTCTCAAAGGCATGGAGGCGGGGCTCACTATTTTGGCCTTGAAACATTTCCATTCTAAAACTGTGGTGGTATTGTCAGTGCAACTTCCAGCTACTGAAACTGAAAGGTGGAACAGAGGTTGAACTATATTAAGGAACATGTGTTGTGTTTTCCTGTGACTGCTTTTACTTACTTCTTAATCAAATGTTCATTTTTTTATCCACAGACATCCCACTGAGTTTGTGCAAGGCCCATTTACATGTTTTCATTACTTCTTTATCCCTTGAACCAATACCTGAATTTGTCACCATTGTGTAGCTCCTGGGGATGAATGTTTTCTTCTCTAGTGTAGTGGCTTACCCTTGTCAGTGAGGTTAGCCAGGAGAAAAGAAAGGTCAAGGGGCAGATGGCAGTCAACCTATAGTATGTCTCCAAATATATCTGTCACTGAGAAATAAGCTGACTCTGCTCTTCCTCCTCAGAGTCATAGCAGCTTTTCCCGTCCAACCTGGGAACTTTCTACTTGCTCGCTGGAGTAGCTAGGGTCCTGTACTACCTCGGACACATCTTTTGGGATTCACAGGAGCTCAAGTCTGGTCCACGGGGTTTGCCTAAACTTTCCTGTTGGTGTAGTTATGCACAAACTCCACTTGAGATTGAATCTTTGAGTGTAGAACATGGCCATGTTTATAATCTTCTCCAGAAAATGTAGACGCAGGTCCTGGAAGATGCTAACTGTATTCACTGCTCACTGGTATCACCTGCAGGCTTTCTCACATTCCACGTTCAAATGACACTCAGAAACAGCCAGCTGGGCATGGGCAGTGCTGAGGACCAGTAGAGGTTGCTAACACTAAATGTGGGGCAGCAGAGTCTCTAGAAGTACGTTAGAGGCATTGGCCCAGAGATTGCAATGTGTAAAGGTGCTGGAGAAACATCCTTCTAGAACTTCACCTGACCATGGAGGGAGGTTATGGTTGCCATTCATGCAGGATCCAAAGGTCTTTTGACTTACTGAAGAAATCCACAATAAATTCCTGGCATGAAGTATTTCTGTGTTATAAAGAAACAGATCAGGCACTCTCTGTTGCTTATAAATATAATTTATTACCTGTTTAAAAATTCTTTCTTACATTTTGTACATGTTGGCTGACAATAAATGCAGGCAATTTACAAACCAAGGGGACTGCAGGAAAATTGGGTGAGGCAACCGGGGAGAGAAAAGAGGCACACAGAGCTGGTGTCCCTCACCTCCATCACACAGCAAGGCGATGAATGGAATGCTGGAGAGCACTCCTTTGCCACCAGGGGTCATTAAAAAAGGAATTGCATAGAAGATACAGCAAGACAGAATTCTATAACAAAGAAGTGTTCCCTATCTGAGAAGCCAAGGTTGTGTTTTTGCTTAGGAAAAAAATAGAAAACAACTGACAAAGCATAAAAATTTTAACCTGATACTTATGAAGTTGAGCTGGTCCAAAGAAGACGGCACAGGGTGACCCAGTCTCTCTTTAGAAGAAGGCTGAGAATTGTTTTCTGATGAATGTTGGTTTTCATCTTTAGAACAAAGAGGAGGAAGGTTACTGGTTCTCTACAGCTCAACATTAAGCTCACTACAAACAGCACTGTGATGTCCAACACACAGGCACAGTATACAAACACATACACACACAAACACAGTGATGATATTCCCTGCAACTTGGCTAAGTATATTGTCTGGAGGGTGAGGTCTAGAAAAAAGTGAAAGAAGGAATGCAAGTCATGTGTTCAGCTCTTCTTTTACAGGATCTGAAGAAAAGCATGAGAGTTCATATGTATACAGTTATAGGTCCTATCAATGATGGTAGGAACACAACCATGGCAAAGGCATTTTCTACTAGCTGTGGATTTCTTGTTTTGTATGCCGTCTTAAAACTGGTTTAACAGACAGCATAGAGCTTGTCATGAAGCTTTGATGCTGCCACTTTATAGTGCTGAGGGAAGATCCAAGGCCAAGAGCTCATCACTATTAGGCTGTTGATCAGTACAACCAGCCCACAATTCAGTTACCGCTGCTGGCTGACATCGGGCTTCATGGCATTAGACCTTTGGTATATAAAGATGACACAGGGCTTGGGTTTATTTAAAATGGGCCCAACAGTACTGTTGCCTTCAACTTGTCATTTTGCCATAGCACAAATTCTCAGACAATGTATAAAAAAAACTGGTGTGCCATAGCAAAAAGTATGACTGGTGGACAGCTGATTGTATCTCACACACTCCCTGGTTTTCTATTGAACAACTAGTGGGTTTGGTCATGACTGTCCTGATATATGGCAGTGACTTCCAATATAGGATTCTGGAAGTTCTTGGGACAGATCCCTCCATTATATAGTTGAGTATACTGAAGACTTGCAGGTAGCCTCTTATGCCTCATTGGCTTTGTCTGCCATTATGTTTATGGATTTATGGAGTGTATTTGCTGGTCCTGAGGATACCTCCCCAGCCACACATACATAGATAGGCCTCTGGCAGAAAATACCTTTGGTTAATAAGCCCTGTTAATATCCCACCACAGCTCAGTAATGAAAGTGGTCAAGCCCACTGGACTTTCTGAAGACAATTGCAGTAAGTGTTCAGAAAAAGGGGACAACCACTTGGCCAATAATACCAAAGGATCCATACCTACATTGTCAGTTTGAAGAGACATTTCACCCAGGTACATGCAGGCCATCTTGACTCTTACTTAAAAATGAGCTTAATTTCCAGGTTTTGGGAAGTATTTGTGACTTTACCTGGATTATTTAGCCTACATGAACATAAATTAGTATGGTTATAATGTGAATATTCCCCATAGTCCCAATTCCATTAAATATTATTGGGGAGCTGTCAAGGTGATCAGTATAATCAGAGGTGACACAAAAGAATCTCTTGGGGGCATAGAGACAGCATTTCATTGCACAGAAAGAGTTATAAGGTTTTCAGTCAATGTCAGCTCAGTATGTTTTAAAAATACAAAACCAATACAAAAAGAAAGGAGTAAGATAGTTGGTCCCATGAGGCACTCAGAAGGTAAAACCAGTTTTATTAACTTGAGATAATAATAAAAATATCTTTCCTTTTGGATCTATAAAATAAGATGCTCACTTGCCATTACCATCTTTACAAATGACTCTCGTGAACAATGATGTTCTGATTTGCAAAGCTTCTCAAAAAAGGATGTCTCAAGCATAATTCTACCCTCACTGTGTTTCTGTCATCCTCCTTTCTGCCACTGGCCTTGGACTTACACCGACATTGACATCTGAATGGATTATTTGTCCAGAGTAATTGCTCAGCTCAAATTCATGTTCATCCTGAAGACTCACAACAAGTAAACCTTTTCTACTTTTACCACATAGTCTCCAACATCCTTCCTCGGGTCTACATTCATTAGCCACAGAGCATGGACTGCAGGAATGTATGGATTCTGGGACAGATCACCATTCTGATAAGCTCCCTCCATCCTGTGCTGTGGCGGTGTGAGTCACTCGAGCATTGCTGCCAGGTCCTGCACAGAGGCACTGGAAGATGTAAGACAAGAGCCTGCCGCCTTTTCTCCAGAAGCGACGTGTCCAGATCCCACCCTCAGAATGTTTGCATTCCAATTTACTTTAGGAAAGATGTCTTTAAGACAACGGAATGTCTAATATCTGGACTATAAACATCTAGAAGGCCCTAAACATAGTCATTGTGACTTTCCCCTAAAAAAAGGTCTCTACTCTTTGATAGTGTAGTGATTCAAAACTACAGAATCATAGCACATATCAAAATAGCTCATAATACAGTTGATCCTGGACCTCTCACCCCACAAAGCATCCTTTCCTGGAAGAGACTGATACGTTCAGGTGAAGAAGGGTTCTTGGTATAGCAGAGGTAAGACATCTGCTTTGAAGATATTTGACTATGAATTCCTTGACACTTGCTTGTCATTGCCATGGACTCAGCTAGCAAGTCAATTTGAATTAATGCCATGAGAAAAAAAATCAGAACATGAAGCCTCTGCCTTTACATTCCTAATCTCAGAAGATCAACATGATCTAATGATCATTTTTGATCAACAACCACAATTTCCATAGACACAGAATTCTTACTCACAAAAACAAAGGTTTAAAAGTACATGTAATGGTACTTGCTTAAAGGAGAACCTATGGGAATAGGATCATAGGTTTGAGGGTATCCTGAGATACCTAGCAAGAATCCATCTGAAAATATTAAAACAAGGAGATGCTCTGTGTGTGTGTGTGTCTTTGGGGTGGGGGCACCGCCTTAATGAATACTGTTTATGTTTCTAATGGTTAGTAATTTGAAATTAGAAGATCTTAAATATGCAAACAAAGTTCAATAAAATAAAAAAGACAACTTTTAATGACTTTTTATAAATTTCATGTATGTCTGAAGTTACAGGAAAGTAACTTTAGATGTATATGAGGAAGTAGATGATGTATTGTACTCAGACAACTTTGAAATGGGTGATTTAACTGACCGGATATTAGAATAAGGAAATTTCATACTTGGAAGGAAAAATTCCCCATGTCGCTAATCTCTGTAGGTTCTCTGTCGACTGTTAGTAGCTGTTTATGGAACTGAGTAACTATAGGGAGGACCACTAGATGGCACAGTGCACAAATGAATTGGCTTCTACCCAACTTCATGAAACACAGCTTTCCTCAGGCCTGTGTGAGCCGGCTTTGCTGCAGAGGAGATAAGGATGCTTCCTCTGAAATGAACTGTGGCAGGTGAACCTTGCATGTCGGAGAACAGTTGATCTAACAACTACTGCTTTCCTCCAAAGGAAAATACCATATATATCTGATGGATGGTATGCTCTAGTTTGAAAACTGTCTTTCCCATGACAGAAAGTAGTTTTGTGACAAATGAGTACCTCATAAGAGATCAGTCATTTTTCCTATTTCTGTTGTGAGAGGTGGAATAAAAAAGCTAGTATCTCTAGATGCTTGAACACGAGCACCGTTAACAGCTTCAACAATATTGTTTGGGTTATACTCGATAATTCTGTTGGTAATTTAGAAGTTTTTAGGATAGATTAAGCAGAATAACACATCTGCCCTTCTCTACTTACAAAGCATTGAAGTTACATAAAACATCCAGTCCCGATCTGTAGGTTTTGATTTTTATGATTCCCAAATCCCAGTACTAAAGAGGAATCTTCACATTTGTTTCAAGAGACAGTGGACAACTCTTTCTTCCTCTGGCATTTTAAGAGTATCTGTCTGAATTCTTAAAGAACTTGCTTAGGAGTATAGGACTACCTTTGGACAATTTAGACCAGTGTTTTTACATATGAGTATTGTAATTGTTAGAGAATGCAATTGTAGAATACATATTCAAAAAAAAGATAAACAGAAGGAATGAAGAGCCTCCACACCGTATTCACAGTTCTTTAATGGCTAAGACAGAAGAGTCAGAGAATATCAAGAAGTAACAGAAATAGGAGAGGAGATGGGTAAGATGTTTCCTAACTGGAACCATTCTGCGTACTGGATATTTCCAGCCCCAACGTGAGCCACAGATGTATTTTGAAGGCTCTGATTTGAGGACATGGGTGCTCCCTGTTTGTCTGTGATTGGGACTGCTAAGTTTTCATTCTCCATGTGCTGAATGTCATTCCTATAGTCAAGCAAACCATGATGGTTCCTAGAAAAACTCATGGCTTGCAAAACTATTAACCTTTCGTAGGAAAAAAAGAGCTAATTAAACTCTGTAAATACAATTGACTATTATTAAAGCAAAGATCACTTAAGGAAGAAAAACTACCAACTCCTTCAGCAGCATGGGTATTTTGTAGAGATGGTCTTGAGTTCAACATAAGAGTAAAGTAGATTTACAACTAGTTGGAAGGCTGGAGTCTAGCCCCCCCACCACCAGAGGACAAGAAAGTGATAATAAAAGGATGTCATCTCTCAGCGTACAACATCATGTAACCATGACACAAAGACAAGAGAGCCAAACAAATATATGCATGTTCAAGTCAATACTGCCTGAAAGATGCAACGTATTTCAGCAAAAGGCTGTCTGGATGAATGGTCCAAGGCCAGAGTCTCTTATAATCTTCAAATTGATGAATAAGACTGATGACATCACAATGGGAGGTTAGCATTCTGGAATCTTGAGATGATCGGATCTCACCCATAGTTTACAGATCAGTAAAATGAACTACAATGAGTTTCAATGTTTTTCCCAAGGTCACACAGACAGTGACCAGCTCCAGAATGATAATTGGTTTCCTGATGCCTAGTTCAGAAACTATTGCCCACAAACTACACTGCTTCTCAGCAGACAGCCACAAGATTAAATGAGCTTTACATAGAGGACCCTTCTCATGATAAGACCCAGAACAGAAAGACTACCCAAGAAAGCAGAAAGAGTAGACATAGCCATTGAACACTTCAATTTCTTCACCACCGAATAGGAGATCAAATGTCAAGGAAGTGAGACCTATTGAACTAAACTGGTGACCACGCCCACCTCTTTATGAAAGAAAGGGAGGCAGGTCTAGTCAATACCAAATACTAATAGTATCGCTAACTAAAACAAAAGAAACTCTTTTTACTAGAATATTTGTAATAATCATAATAATGATAATATTTTAAAAACACTTGAAATTGCATATTACAAACACATGTGGTACAGAAATGTTTGAGTGGAGGAACATGAATCACTATCTTCCCTGCACAGCTCTGTCCCCAAAGGATACCAACTGATATCCCCCATGGCATAAGGAATCTTAGTCATCTCCTTTCTGATTCTCCACTTCCCTGATACAAATGCCAACACTGGTCCAACAAGTTTCAGAAACAACACTGATGGGAGGATTATCTGAGACACTTGATGTACACGATTTGTAGCAAAAGTCTGTGATTTCTCTGTAAATTACTAATCTGAGATAGACTCAACAAACCGTCCACAGCTTCAACTTCAAATGATTGGAACAAAAATAGAACGAGCCATGGACAGTGTCTGCATCCCTGTCCAATTTGATGTAAACAACGTTTGTAGAAATTGGGTTTGTTAAGAAAGTTTATCCATACATCTGGATAGCAATAAAAAGCGTTTCCTAGGAAACTGTAAGATCCTGTACCATACAGCATACAGCCCAACGAAGAGAAAATTAGATTGATTTCTAAATTCAAGGTACAAATTTACACAATTTTTCTTAACTCCCGTGGTGGTGCTGTCCGAATGAAGTGGGCATGTACCTTGGTGGTTGTAACTGTCCCCCACCTTTCCTGCTGCCATCTTGCCTGAAAAGTGCCTTGGTCCCATCTGGATTTCCTCCTCAGCTGTGGTTCCCCTGGACACAGACTCTCTGTGTAATTTGGTCCCTCAATTTCAGTTCCAGTATGGTCAATACTGCCCTTCTGCTGCTAAGGACACTACGGTTTCATGTCTTCCCATTTCTTCCAGGACAGCTGCCAGCATGCTCAGGTTTCCATCTGGGAAGTTTTGTGCTTCCCAGAGATCCAGGATCACACCGGTTGGGCTCGATTTGGTGGCAAAGTAATTCAAGTACCTGCAATTAGGAATGGGAAAATATGCTGAAAGGTGTGATTTACAGGTCTATTTAAAGTATTATTCTATCCTCTGCTCCTGTGAGAAATCTGTCTTTCTTGAAGTATTTCGGTCCCACTGTGGTGGTGAACCTTCCTATATGACTGCTCTGTACTTAATTAGATCAGCCCCAGACAGGACATGTGCTGTTTAACTTTGTTAACCTCAACTCTGAGTAAGATAATTTAAGAGACAATGTGTCTGTGGGTTTTGTTCTAAACACGAAATCAAGAGGCTTATGCTGTCTGTCCAGTTCAAGCTCTGATGATCTTTGACAGGTCATGCCACATCTCTTGTTTGGAGGTGACAGCTACATTCTACAAAGTAGAAGCTCTCGGGGTCTCTTCATATCTTAATACAAGTGCCGTGTGAGCATGTAAATTATTCAGCACACATTACGTCCTGTTCAACTGGTGATGAACAGTAATTACTGAGTAGACATGAAACTTAGGAGGACTTAGCAATAAGCTAGACCTAGTAGATCACAAGGGATTCTGATAAATGCCATGTAACCCAGAGCTTCTCTTGGAACTGTCTGGAAGCTCATGGTACAAGGTATAGAGGTGCTTAATGCAGACCATCAGGATAAAAATATAAGCAATATAGTGGGAAGAAATAGAAAAAGAAGGTCGCTTTCTATCTAATGGTTTTCAGTCCTGGAGATCTCTGCTAAATAAAAAGAATGGGTTCACAAGCCTTGACACACTCACCTGTCCAGGTTGAGTTTATGGGCCAGCATCCTCCAGTCATGGCCTCTTGTCTGGGGGGCATCCAGGCTGCTGCATAGCTTCTGCCGGATAGGGAGAGGGATGCTAAAAGCACTTGGTCCTGTGACAGTGGTGATGGTGCTTGCAGGATCCAGCAGAGGCAAATCGATGCCAGTAGGTTCCTGTAGGAACAACACAACTTTATTTTCAGAAGACAAAGGCAATGCCTGTTGAATCAATCAACATAATGCCTGACTCTCAGTCAGTTAAGATAGATTCAGAGAATGAGTTCTGTTGTCTTCAGGGAGGACAGTTTCTTCCTGGCTGGCCTGGAAGTAGTGTGTTACTATAGGCAGTTGGGAACCACAAGGTGGACATTTGGGGGGTAGTTTTGCAGAGCCTGTGTTCAGGAGTCATTGGGCAGGCCAGAGAGCTCTGGTAACATTTCACAGTGGGTCCTCTAATGAGAATCTCCAGGAGAGAAGAGAGGGGATGACTGTGTTTCAGAAGGTTTAAATGCTGGAAGTGTTCAAAGGAGCAATTATTTCTGAATGAATACATAGATCTGAGATGAGGAAGAGCTTCTGGAAACCATCTAACCCCCAAGGCATGCCCTGGGTGAACACTTAGAAAACTCCAGCTAGCCCTGTGAAGGTGGCTCCCTTCTACCCTTGCTTGATAAAATGGGAGAAGGCTAAGAGATACCAAATTAAGACCAACTTTTTACAAAGAAAATGGTAAACACAGAATATTGCTTTAGGGCAAGCCACTAATGGTGTCCTCTAATTGCCGAACTTCCTTGCTTATTTTTTAAATCCAATTTTAGTGGAGAAAGCCATAAATTGGTTCTTAAAATAGTTTCAGCTCATAAAACAGCACAAATGCAAAATTTAAATTTCACCGGCAAGAGAAACTCTAATCATTTTCTGATCACTTGTGCTGTACTGAAAGCGAGAGGAAATGCTACCTGGGAGACATTAAAGCAATAACAGGAAACCTCCTAAACCTGCTTCAATGCCATCTCCTTCTCAAAGCAGGTAACTGCTTGGTGTGCACAATTAGTTGCTAGAGGATACACTAGCCACAGAAGTGCGGCCATCGAGAAGTCTGCGATAGCCTGCCAAGTGCTCAGCTGAGAGGTCAGTGCCACTGCTGTCAGAGCCCTCATGCCCTGCCTTGAATTCTGATGTCTCTGAAGACTTGTCAGTCCTGGAGCTTTGAGGGGTAGGTGGGGTCTCAACTGGCAGCCTCCCAAGTGTGGCCCATGGGTGGTCTGCTTTAGGGGATCAGCGGAACAGTACTGATTTTAAATCTTCTATAATCCTTCTAGACAGGGTCCATTAAGGTGTTTGGGGACATTTTAGAGCAGAATAAAAAAATCTTTTAATCACATAAAATATACAATAGCATTGGCCGTGATCGAAGTATCAGGACTTAAAACAAATAGATGCCCTAGGCTCTAGGCTCCTCTGTGTTAGCTCTGGCTCCTTGGCTAGCCTGTGGGCTGCAGCTCAGAAGCTTCCAGCAGGATTAGAAAGCTCTGGTGAGACTCACAACCTGAAGCTCTTCCCCCTAAGGCACAGAGCTCTGCCAAGAAGTATGAGTGCATAACCTCTCGGGTCATAGGGCTTCAAAAAGGCAAAAAGAGAGTCATGGGGGGGTCATAATGCAATGCTTACTAGTGGATTCATGTTTGAGATGTTCAAATTCAAGTATCACAACCCTTATGTTGGGCACAGCAGTATGCAAGGGTGTATTGGTATGTGGAAGCAGAAAGGAGTGAGACACTGTTGCCCAGTTTAGAGACCCCGCCCAGGTTCAAGTCCTCTTCCTTTTTTATGGACAATTACAATCAACTACTCTTTAGGCTAGAAGGAGGATCTGCCAGCCCCTGAAGTACATCCCCACCTAATTGACATTGGGTGGCAGGGGAGGTTAAAGTCTGCACAGGGAGGAATTGGCTTGTGTAGCATTAACTATAGTCCCCAAAGGGTCTCCTTCTCATGGCTGGCCACAGTATCTTCCTGCTGTTCGCCTGCTTTCCACCATGCTCTCCTGTCAGCCTGTCCTACTGTGCAGAACTCTCGCCTGCCTCTCTGTTCTGTTCCTTCACAGAAGTGATTAACGTCCTTTCTCTCACATGAATTTCCAACCTTCAAATGTTGCACCTGTGTGTGTGTGTGTGTGTGTGTGTGTGTGTGTGTGTGTGTGTATTCATGGGTCCCCATGCCTGTGTGTGCCTTTATATAGAGGCCAGAGAACAACTGTGGGTGTCATTCCTCAGATACTGTCTTTGGTTTGTGAGACAGGATTTCTCATTAGTCCAGATCTCATCAACAAGGTTCAGCCTGTTGAGCACAGGGAGCCCAGGGATTCTCTGTCTCCTACCTTCCCCAGTCCTGGAATTATTAATGCATGGTGTACCATGTCTGATTTTTTTTTAACATGGATTCTGGAAATCAAAGTCAGATACTTGCAGTGTATTAACTAATCCATCTCCTCAATCCTAATATTTTAACATGTGTTTAACTGTATATGTTTAGTGTTCTACTTTTATACAAGCATAAAGGGTGATGTGATTAAATTTCATCACTCTTTTTAATTCCCACTTTTTCCAATCTCCAGTTTTTTTTCAAAGACAATGCCTCATTTTGCTTATGCACTTGGAAGCCTGGACATTTAAAGATGGCAGGCATATTATGAAAATATTTATCACAAAGATTATTAATAAGGAAATTGAAAAGAAATATAATTTATTCCAAATGAAACTGACAAATATATTGAGTTTGATAAAATGTGAAGCTCTTGATTTGACTTAATGGAAAGAAATTTTCTGCAAAGAATTAGCTTTCCAGAAAGATACCATATACAAATATGTATGGTATTTGGGCTGGGGAATGGCAAAGGGGAGGTTGAAGGAAGTGTGGGAGGGAGAGCTGTGATTGCAATATAAAATGAAATTTAAAAGAAAGAAATCAAAAATGTATTTAACATTGAAAACTTATTAGTTGTTAGTAGAATTATCTTGAATTTGAACAGATTATTGACATAATAGAGACTATACACTATTTAAACTAATTCCATTACTACAAATTGTATTTCCAATCTCCAGCTCTTGTTGTTCTTTGAGAGAAAGAGGATCACACACACACACACACACACACACACACACACACACACACTTGCTCTTCTGTGTTTGGCTCAATTTACTTCATGCCCTCTATCCAGTTGTCATCATCATGGCAAATTACAGGATTCCATTATTCCTTATGACTGATACTCCATTGTTATACATAGCACATTTACTTTATTTTGTTGAGGATATACCTAGGCTGCATCTGTGTCTTAACTCTTGGGAATTGGGCTGTATTGCACAAAGTTGTGCAGCCATGTTTGATTGGGCATGCGGGTTTAATTTCCTATAGTTATATACTAAGAACTGGGATAGCTGGATCATATGGTGGACCATTTTTAATATTTTCAGGCACCTTTATAATGACTATACTAATTTACATTCCCATCAACAACGTGAGAGTCCCTTTTCACCACATGCTCATTAGCGTTTATTGTTTGTTACTCTGATCATAGCCCTACTGACTGGGGTGGATGACATCACACAGTGTTTTGATTGTTTTCCCCGATGGCCAGCTTAACACTTTTTCAGCTGTCTATTGGTTCTTCATATTCTTCTCAGTGATATCTTGGTCAGAATTTGCTCATGTTAAAACTTTAAATACTTTCGCTAGTTCCTGATATTTTCTGGATAAGGACCTGTCAGACCTCAAGCTGACATGTGCCTTCTCCCATTCTGTAGCCATCCTTTCATCTGGTGATCATTTCTTTTGCTGTGCAAAAGCTTAATTGGAGGTCATCCTAGCTTGCAATTTTTGCTCTATTTCCTGTGCTTTTGACTTCCTAGCCAGGAAACCAGCACCTTTGCCAGGTTTGGAGTTGTTTGCCCTGGGTTTTCTTCCAGTAGTGTTAAGTTTCAGGTCGCAATGCTTAGGCTCTGATCCAGTTCAGCTTGGATGAAGAGGATTATGTCTCAGTCTTCTTCCTTCATGTGTTGGGTGGATACCCATATATCTGTCCTTCAGCTTTTCCCTACTCAGTATGAATACAGTTGTGGGTTCACCACACAAGCATGCTGTGTCCATGTATAATCTGTTCAAGGTTTGTTGACATATAGACTTGTTCAATTGTGCTATGCCTTTCCTATATCTGAGATGTTTATATAATTTTCATCTGTCATTCTATCCATATGATATATGACACTTCGTTTGCATGCATTAAGCCATACTTTCATCTCTGAGATGAAACCTCTTGATCAGAATTTTGTTGAGAACTTTTGTGTCAGTTTTGTCATAGGTATTCGTCATGGCTATGTGTATGTCTGATTTTCTTAAAAAGCAATATTGGCATAGAGTCAGCTTAGAAAACTGCCCTCTCTTGAAAACTGTGGAACAGTTTGAGAAGAACTGGCATTAGTTTTTCTTTAAAAGTTTCCTCACTAGTTTTGATCAAGCAGTGAGGGATAGGCACACCCTCTGTCTAGGGTTGCAAGGAGCCCCAGAGGGGAGGGTGGAAACTGAAACGTTAATTCCTCTTGGAGCAGGGAACCCTATAACCCTCCTTCCCTCATGTCACAATCTGACCCCAACCATTTCAGGTTGGTGATACTTGATCAGACTCAGTGCCTGCAGACTGTCCTGCTTCCAAGTCCTCCCTACTGCCACTTACAGTTCATTTATGCTTTCCTGTCGTCTCTTAGATAAATGCCCCAGAATCTGGCCTAAAGGACATGTGCTGCAACACTCTTCAAATGTACTGAAGATACCCTACTTGGATTAGCTGCTCTTCAGGATTCTGTTTGTTCAGCCCTACCAGATGGGATGGACTATGATTTCCTTTGGTCTCTTAAATTTCTTGGCAAGCAGAGTATTTTTTGTGTTATTTTATTAACAGGTTCCCCTATGGCACTCAACTCCCACGGTGCCTTGTATATTGAAGCTACTCAATCAGTGTTTGCTGAAGTAGGGGGAAATACTTTTTTTTGGGGTAGGGAGACGGCGAAGCCCATTCCTGAGCCCCACCTGTAGGGAAGGGTGTTGTGCTGCCTTCCAACTAAAAATGAATGAGGGATTGAGTCATTCACTGGTAAACTGCAAAGGTGAAGAAAGGCCAGTTTAAAGTAGGCATGGAACTCAGGAAAGTCTCCTGCACTGAGAGCATTCCTTTCTTGCTGAGTAAGGAACCTGCATTATTTTATATGGACATTGCCCTAACTCCTAATCTGGCTTCTTTGCCTGTGTCTTTCTGTGTCTGTGAAACAAGTCCTGTACTGCTCTTTTACTGACAGTATACCTTTATAATACCTTTAAGGGAATCAGAAAAAAAATATATGTGTGTGTGTGTGTGTGTGTGTGTATATATATACACATACACACACATTTATGTTTAAATTTAATGTAGTAATTGCAGTTTCCATTATCTTTTCCTTTACTTGCAGGTAAAAGTAGAGATTACTCTTAAAGAATGGTTATTACAATAATCTTTTATGATATTGTTACCATCTGCTTATGATGGTATAATTTTCTTAGTTACACATAATATTTTTCAGCATTAACAAAACATCTGTTCTGGGTGGTCACAGACATTCCATGCATCATGCTTGTGCTCTACTACTGGAGTGCATCTCTAACCACACCTTTAGGTGGATGGTGGTTTTCTTCATATAGGCCATGGTAGCCATGAAACCCCTTTACATCACAAGATTTATTATTCATTTCTATTTAATGTACATGAGTGCTTTGCCTGCATGTATATATATATATATATATATATATATATATATATATATATGTTCCAGTTTGTACATTGTGCCCCAGAGTATGGAAAAGAGCAGTAGATTTCCTGGAACTGCAGTTAGAGATACCTATGAATACTAGAATTGCACACAGGTTCTCTACAAGAGCAGCAAATGATCTTAACCACTGGACCATCTCTGCAATCTGAATCATAGCTTGTATTTTGAGAAAAGGGCATCTGATGCTTAGGCTGCCAGTGTATCTCACAGACTGGAAAGGTAATGCTTATTAAACCCAGTTATTCCAATGACAAGAATAGTGCATATGATTATGTGCCATGGAGCAAGGTCTGTTTATGACACTTATTAAAATCCACATATTGAATTTTCTCAACAGAACTAACAAATAATGGTATGCTACGTTAAGCATAAGGAAATTATAAAGGGGAAGATAATTGGATATATTCCTACTGAACTGTCCACTTGGGAATTTATTGTGATAGGCCTTTGTATATAGCAAAAATGACATCAAAGCCTAAAACAAAATTTCAAGTGTCTCTTACTTCCTTGTATTTTCACTTTGGAAAACATTGTTACCCCATCCCTGTCTAAAGACACAAAAAGTGAGATATTTTTCATCATTATTTTCATCATGACATTCATTCACACCAATATTTGAGCTTCTAGGCACTTTCCTTCTTTATCCTCCTTTCTGCAGTTAGAGGCCTTTAAGGACCATCTGGTAAAGGGGGCACAGGAAAACAGGTGGTGGTTATGAGACAACTGTGGTCTGTGCTCAGTACAGCCTGGTCTCTGTGGTGGGCAAAAGGTTCTCTGCCATGCTCGAGAAGCCCCGAGTTGTGTGGTCTTATAAATGACTGCTGGTGAGTGACCTTCATTAGTAGGTGGCTCGTGGGAAAAGGCAGCATATTCCTAAGAAGACAGATCATTCTATGGGGATAGGATATTAGAAATACAACCCCTTAGAACCTGTTACCCTGTTACCTTGCCTTGTGATGGAAGGAGCAAGGCTCAGAAGAAAGTAACCGCAAATGAAACCTTTTCTCTACGTGCTACAGCTTGTGAGTAATACTGGACCACTTCTCAGTTTCTGGTGAGGACTTGGGTCACTGGACTCCCCAGTGTCGATTGTTCATCCATATAGAGCCTCATATTGCGCCAACATCCGCACCAGATTGCTACTCCCTCCTCCAAAAAACCCAACCTGCATGCAAATGCAAACCACAACGGTGGAGCTCAGTGACCTAGAAGTCCAAGCAGCAGAGCGCCCCTTAATCCCTAAAGTCTTCCCTAGTCTGGTCACTTCTTCCAGCCTTTGCTTGTCTGTCACACATGGGCAAATGCCTGGCGCGTGACTACAGGGCTGGCCTCTGAGCTGTCTGCCAAGTTGCAAAAGCAATAATCTTTTTCTCTGTGTTGGCACCAGAAAGAAGTCCTTAAGTTGTGATCACACTTTGCAAAACTGCCCTTTCTGTGTGAGGAGCTGGCAGCCTTGGTGGGGGGAGAACTCGGAGCAGCTCTCATTTCTTTGTGGCTGCATCTGATCCACCTTTTCAGTGCACAGCAAATGTTCATGCTGAACAGAAAGCATGCATCAAAGGGCCAGACTCCTCACCCCCCTCCAAAATTCCGTAGCCTTTGTTGTCACTGGAGCTGGGTGGTTATTGAGCTTTGCAGACCTGCTGGGCCAGGAAAGTGAAAACACCCTCCGAAGCCAGCAGGGGTGGTACTGTGTGCCTGGGAGATAGGGCTGTGCATCCAAAGGCCCGGCGGTTGCCATGGCACCATGACACAGAGATCATTCCTTATGAATGTCACTGAGGTCTGTGACTAAAGTTGTTTATGAGTCAAAAGTCTCATGAAACTACAGGAGGAGAGGATGACTGCACCTCACAGGCTGTGGGAAAGAAGATTGGAGCTTCAATGAGCTCACATGCTTCTCCCCCAGCTCCCCCCCCCGCCTCGTTTGCTAAGGAAGATCATCTTTAAATAGGGCATGTGGCGCAAGACAGGCTGAACAGACTGACATCGCAGTCATCACTATGCAAAAGACAAAAAAGTATTTTAAATCATACACTGCTGGCTGTAGTTTTCCTGGGCTTTGTGGCTCAGGCAGCAGCATGGAGCTGAGCTCCAAGGGGCCACGAGGAGCAGCTTTCTGACCATTTGGTTTATTCTTCATCCTTTGTTCCTCCAACATGAAGGCTTACCGCTTTTCAAACCATAGTCTTTGCATCCAATGGGACAGATAAGGTCATGGGGTACCTCCTCTTTCCTTACAGAGGATATTGAAATAACAGCAACTATTGTTACTGCTAGAATATGAATCGACAAAAATGACCAGCTGCGTGTGTGAAAAATCATAGTAGAGAGAGGCAAAAGTGACAGCTATGCAGGGTATGGATTTGCTTCTATTCCTGGAGTTTCTCCTCCACCCTGAGATAAAGGACATATCCTCTGACATTTGGAGACTGAAGTGAGAGAAAGAAAGGAGATGAGAAGCTATGGAGCAGGCACCCCCTTTTTCCTTCATCCCTCTCAGTAGCCCATGACTAGGACAAAATGACACAAGTTCCTATGAGAGAAAGGCGGAACAAAGCCAGATGCTGGTGGAAAGTGCCATGTGCATGCTACTAAAACCTTGCATTTGAAGTTCAGCTCTCAGTGGGTTTGTCTCTCAGCGTTTTAAAAAGTAGTTTCACTATCTGGTGATGGCTGACCTGCAACTCATTATTTTGGTCAACCTGGCATCAAATCTCAGGAATATTGGGGTTACAGGAGTTTACTGTCATGTCTTGTTGTCAGACTTTTTTGTGTAAGTTATAGTATGAATCTTAAATGGGTGGCATAAGAAAACTTGGTTTTGCAAAATGATTCCTCAGCTGCATTAAACACACAGGGACCAGCTTGGGAAGCCCTCCATGTCATCTGCACAGGGAACACTATTGTCCCTTCCCACCATTTTTTCTCTGGAAACCCTGCCCAAGACCCCAAGAGTGTCTTACCTCTGACACAGTGCAATTGAGCTGGAAGATCTGACCTTCTCCTTCTACCTGCCGCACACAGAGTTTGCAAACCAGCTCCACGGTGTTCAGGCTGAGTCTTTCCAGGGTGAAGGTGCAGTGGAGGTTTCTCTGAGAGCCACTCCAGACATGGTAAAATGGAATTTCCTGGAAAATACGGGTGTGGTTAACACAAATGAGATGCTGGGAATCCCCATCAGACCCTATCCCCTTCTCAGTATTCACCTCCCCCAACATCATGACCATACAAATATGGTCTCACTTCTTTCCACACAAGAAATCAGAGGTGCAGAGAGTTTAAATAACAGTCAATGTTAAATAGTGAGGAAGTGGATGTGTTGAGCCTGGAACCCATGGAGTCAAGCTCTAGAATCAACTGCTAACCAGGCTACCTGCCTCTCATTTAGCAAAACAGCCTTTGTGGATGAGATTTTTTAAAAGCCTAGAAAGTTCTTAAATTTTTAAAAAGCTTAGAAACTTCCTAAAATAAATCCTTCGCACTCCATCATTTCTCATTAAAAGGAATCCCTGGTGTGACATATTGGAGAATAGCAAAGCTAGCCACAGGATACAGTGCTGATCCCATATCTTTTCATGCCTCTAGCCTCCCTTTGCCAAGGGCAGGGGCAGCTAAGACTTGCTCCAGTTTGAAATAAGTCCCACATAAAGGTCCTTGGCTAAAAAGCACCAAACTAATACCAGATACTCATTTGTAACCATCTAAACTACTGTACAGAGTGAATCCTATACTCTTATGACAATTAAACCAAGGACACAATTCATGAAAGAATGCAAGGTGTAGGCTGAGGTTCTGATGCAAATTCAGAAACAGTGACAGCATGCCATTTCACTGACATACTGTCACTCTCTAAACTCTGGCTTCTACATTATGCAGGTGTGTGCTAGCTAGCAAGACAGAAGGAAGCTTAATACACATCAGTGCCTCATTTCCTCCCATGCATTCATTTGAGGCTGTTCCTATTAGCTTAGTGAACATGTCCATCAAAAACAAATTTCCTAAAACTAAAATAACAGTACAGTTATTTTAAGAAGAATGCTTTAAAAACCGTTCCTTTAAAGTGCTTGTTAGTCATTTTCTGAGGACACCAGTCCTATACTGTTTTGGAGAAATAAGTGTTAGTATGGGAGCATTCCAAGAAAGAGGATCTCTTTTTTTAATTCTAATTTTATTTTTAAATTTAAATTAAAGCAAGGTTGCTTCTCATGTCAGCTCTCCCCCCTCTCCCTCCCCTCCTCCCATGCCTTCCACACCTCCATCCCCCTCCCCCAACCCCCACTCGAAAGGAGTTATCTTATTGACTCTAAAATCTCAATCTTCTGTCTTGAATCTGTATCATGCAGTTGGTGCCTCTTGGTAGCCTCACCTGATACTTAGCCAGCAGTTTGCTCTTCCAGAGGGAATGGGCGATGTCATGAATCGACAGGCGCAGGTTGTGGATGCTGCCTTTAAAATGAAGAGCCTTGGGTTCTTCTAGGAGCTGTCCTCCCATCTGCCTCTCCAGCTGTAGAACTTCCTACAACACACCCCAGGCCAAGGCACATTATTGATGGACCTGTCCGACTTCCATCAGACCTTTCATTAAGTAAATACATTTCCTCATCATGCGTGTTGGATAGAATACTGTACTTTGGCAGCCACCTATGAATTGGAGATCCTCACTATGAAGCCATGACCATCTTGCATGGGACCAGGCCCTGTTGACAACTAGACTGTGAAATTTGTATCACACTTTATGGGGAGAAAACTAAGCAGTGGCTTTTTGTTTGTTTGTTTGTTTGTAGTTGGCAAGAGCAAGTGACTGATATTGAAAATGGGAAGACATAATAAAACAAGAAAAATAATGGTAGAAATATAGGCAAACAGATAAGAAAGTTTTTCATTGAAATCTGAAAGGGGCAACTTCCTATATTGTATCTGATAAAACCAACTACCACCAACAAAAAGTGTTAAATGTTTTAGACACTTAGTCCAATCTCTTATAATCATAAGAATTATTAAGTAGTGATAGGAATTATGAAGTACCTAAGTCACAGTTACTAAAATATTTGTGTGTGTGTACAGGTGCATGTATGTGTAGACCAAAGGACAACCTTGAGTGGAATTCATTTGATGTCTACCTTTGTTCAGATACACGGTCTCTCACTATCTGGGACCTCTTCAAGTAGACTGGCTAGGGAACCTCAGAGGTTGGCCTTCATTTCTCCCTAGCATTGGATTTACAAACAAGATTAGATGTCATCACACCTAACATTTTTTGTTGTTGTTGCATAGGTTCTTGGATATCATGGCCAGAATTTTAGCAAGTTCTAAAAGGGGATGCATATGTATGTATGTATGTATATGTGGGGAAAATTTTTTGATACAGAGAGAGGAGATTTTTTTTGAGACAGAGTTTCTCTGTGGCTTTGGAGGCTGTCCTGGAACTCACTTTGTAGACCAGGCTGGTCTCGAACTCACAGAGATCCACCTGCCTCTGCCTCCCAAGTGCTGGGATTAAAGGCGTGTGCCACCAACGCCCGGTGAGAGAGGAGATTTTAAACAATGAGTTATGTACTAAACAGTTACCCAGATTAAAATTTTAAAAAGAATACTTATCTCTCAAAAATTCTAGGTGAATAAACCCACTACATCCTACAGTATAAAGATGTAACAGGAAGACAAAAATCTATATCTACTTCCATTCCTCAAGCTACTTAATGGGACTTAATGAAGCATTTCCAACTACAGCTGAAATTATCCAAATAGCAGCGTATCATAAGTTATCAATATCAATGCACAAAATGAACCACCCATGTAATTCACTCCTCTCGTGCTACCAAAGTTTTGATGCTTAAAATTATGTAGTTTATGACCTTTTAAAATTGGAAATCCAGGAAAAATAATGATATTTGCAACTGGCATAGAGCAAAGTATAGTTGTCTTCTGTGGTGGTACTTTAGCAAATAAGACAGATTTCAAAATACAGGCATTCAGAAAGCCATTTGCATGCACCGGAGAGCAAACAAGTTGTGAATACAGAGTGACCACAGTGGACAAGTTTGGATCTTTGTTGCTGTATATCCAGAGATGCGTGTGCTTTGCATTTGTTGAATGAATGGTGGACTATGCTCTGGACATCTAGTCACTACCAAGCTCACCAACACCATGGATAAGATGCAAACAGCTCCACGAAACTGCAGCATCACCAAGTCCTGAAAGTTCCTTTGAGACTTGGGAAATACATGGTCTCAGATAGGGAGTCCTCTAATTAGTGTCTAATGGAAGTCATGAGGCGATACCCCTCTGGCACAGAGAAGTGTGTGGTCCAGCTGTCTGACAGTATTGACCTACTCTCCTCCACGGCTGGAGATGAGTAGCTATTACTTTTGACAGGAGCTGAGCAGCCAACCAGCCACCCTGACACAGATGCTGTCTTACTGTGCCCTGAGTCTGTTGTGCTTGCCTCAGAAGTCCTCCAGAATCCCCCGTAGGACCTACAGACCTAGCCAGCTCACAAACCCACAGAGCCACCCTCCCAGTGTACCTCCCCTGACACTGCACACCCCATTTTCTGACAAGAATCCTTTGGCAGTCTGTGGAACTTGGAAGAGAAGTGAGGGTTAATTGCAGTTGCCTCTGCTTCAGCAAGAACACATAATGAGCTTATGTTGATCATGTTCAGTGTCTAGTTAGCATAATAGAGAAAGCTGATGTTCCCAGTGAACCTGGCACCTGACAAATTCTAAAGCTAAAATGATGTTTGTTTATAAGCCATTAGAAGAAAAGAAACATAATTAGAAATCTTTGAGATTACAGTCATGCCAATCAATCAGTTCTAGCTTCTTTCCAGTATGCCCTAATTACCTCATCAAGACATCTAAAGAGCAATCGATAGTAATTATCTGATTACTATAGATCTTCATTACATCCAAATTATCTCCCTGGGATGTCTGAAAGAAGATGCATTGTATTCTGGGAGGTAATTGTACCCAACAATGTAGAATGCATACCCCATCCCTACAATCAACATAGAATGCCAGAAGACAGCACCTTATCATTATCTGTTTTCTTGGCAGGATGGACCACCTAACAAAATCTTAGCTGCCTGTTGGCCATGACCTTGAAGTCAAGAAATCTAATGCCACATTCTGAATGCTAAGTCGGGGTTGGAATCAGTCCAAGAATAAGGCTCAGTATTTCGTTTCTCAGAAGTCATGCTAGGGCATTCTTCCTTATAAGGAGTGGTTCTGTAGTGACTTGGGGAAACCTTTACAAAGAAAAAAATCTAAACAAAGCACCACTTAGTGGCAGTGGGACCAGAGAACACACTCTGCATATTGTTATCCATCTCTCCATCAACTAGGAGGCCCATAATAAGCTGCCATGCAGTGCTGGAACATGGTCTCTTGCACATTCCTATCAACAAGCAATAGGTTGTATCATGAACCAATCAAAAACTTATTGTGCATGTTGTATTAAATTCTTAATACATTATAAACCCATATTTTCACACTGATGTATCAATATCTTATAAAAATAAAGTTATAAGCTGAGATTAATAAACACACACACAAATACTAATATTGTCTTTTTTTGGCCAGCGAGCCAATGGACCTGGGATGTGTGTGAACTTGATCTCTGTCATAGAGCTATTTGGTATGAGCAACTGTTCTCACACCAAGATCTAGGTGAGGAATTAGCTCAGAAATAAATATTTCAGTAAAAATGTCTTTACTTAAATCTAGCACATTTTTTCCTGAACAACAGTAACTAGAAAGTGGTTCTCAAATTGAGGGTCATGACTGCTTTGGGGAAACCAAACAACCCTCTCACAGGGGTCACCTAAGACCATCAGAAAGCACAGATACTAACATTATAATTCATAATAGTAGCACAATTACAGTTATGAAGTAGCAGTGAAAAAAATTTTATGGTTGGAGTGACCACAGAATGATGGAACTGTATTAAAGGGTTGCAGAATTAAGAAGATTGAGAACCACTGGACTACTGTTACTATAGACAGGATATCCTACTCAGAAAAAAAACATATAAATGAGGCAAGAAGAAGACTGGCTAGGGATAGTGACACACACCTTTAATCCCAGTACTCTCAGGAGATACAAGTAGGCAGATCTCCGTGAGTTCCAGGACAGCTAGAGCTACAGAAAGAGAGAGAGAGAGAGAGAGAGAGAGAGAGAGAGAGAGAGAGAGAGAGAGAGAGACAGACAGACAGACAGACAGACAGACAGACAGACAGACAGACAGACAGAGACAGAGGCAGAGGCAGAGGCAGAGGCAGAGACAGAGAACAAGCTAAAACACTAAAGATATTTAAGCACAAATACAAGATATTTCAATCAACAACTCCTTGGCAATGAAATTCCAAGGAGTTGTTGATGGCATGTAAATTCACCTGCGAGTCATGCTCAGTCGATGTCACCTGTAAATTCTTGTGTCAGAAGACTAAAAGGGTCAACCCACAGGACATACTAAACAGTCTTTGTTTCCATTTTGTTAGTGTATAGTGTTCTGAGATAGTGCAATCTCTATTTGCCCTTTGTGACCTTTGCTGAACAAAGTTGGTTTTCTGGATTTCTTCTGCATGAAATCATCGTGCTTAACAAATGTGATATGGACACAAGGATGAAATAAAAATAACAGACACACTCCTCAATGAGACATGGCTTTACAGCTAAATGCTTTCCTCTCCTGGAAAGCATCAGTGAGATGTGTGAGTTATGTCAGGAAGGGTGTGGCTTGGCACACAGCTTTGTTCTGCATGGTATAGAGACAATGTGAGCCTATAACCAGGCTGAAACGAGTTCTACTCTAAAACAATGTCTTGACAGACCGTATTTGAGTCACAAAGGTTAGGCTATTTCAAACACCTTAATGGAGAATATGAACCAAATATACTGAAGGTCAAAAGATTTGGGAAGATTTAACAAAATATCGTGACCTTGGAAAGAAATGTCATAATAAACATTAGGATCATCTAGGCTGTTTGTACTTAGAAATATAAAGGTCACCTTCTTTGTTGAGGTTGTCTTTCCTATTAGTGGCCACTTTTACTTCCATGTCAGGTTAGGGTTCTGCTGAACCTACTGGATACCCTAATAAACTATCTCTTTCTCTAGCTTTACTTTGAAAAGAATATCAATAATGACTCAAGAGTCACTGACATCAGATCTCTAGCCCATCTCTCCAGGAGAGCACACATGTGTACACACACACGTGAATCCTAGAGTATTGTCAGTAGGACCTGTCCCTGGGATCTGAGAAGTTCCTTGGTGTAGCATCTGCTTCCTGCAGAGATGTGGATGAGGACTGAATTGATTCCAGGAGCCCATGAAAGACTGCAGCTAAGGCAGCAAGAGGGAATTCCACTGTAGACACAAGCAGCTTGAGCAATAACCAATTAAACCAGGGCATTATCCATGCCGAGCCATTAGCCTGGGCCACTTTAGAGGCATAATAAATCCAAGCTCTTTTAAAGGCCTATGTGGAAACATAAAGCAGCTCTGGTCTGTGCTC